ACAGAGAAGTCACCCTGTGAAACTCCGTGGGAGACTGGAAGCAGGAGCCCCTCTCTCACCCATGGTCCCAAGGGCTCTGCACTGATTCTAGCCTGAAGCCGGCAGCGCACCTGTGCAGGGTGTTCCGCCTGTCCCCTGGATGCCTCTACCGGGGGGGCCAGCCGGGGTCTCTCTGCAGGGGCTGCAGCCTCTGGATTAGAGGTGGGGTAGGGGTGATGTGTCTCCGTGTGTCTCTGAAGAACCTCAGAATTGTGCCCCTGGAGGCACAATTTTGTCGAGGCTCTGGGCTCCCCTGTGCTAAGACAGCTGGAAATCTCCCAAGAATGTCCTTTGAAAAATGTCAGCTCAGAAGCAATGTCACATGTGCTACCTGTGCCCTTATAGGTAAAGTGACAGCAACGTGTGCCCCACCCCCCGCAACTGGCTGTCAGAGATGTCTGCGGTTCAGGAGGCTCAAGGGAGGTCACTGGGGTGGGGCTGGAGGCAGTGAAGGCCTCCTTCCTTCAATCTCCTCTCCGTGCTGGGCAGCTGCACGAGGCCAGGCTGTGGTAGGCATGACCCTCCAAGCAAGCTGGCTCTAGATTTGAATCCCAGTTGCTTGTACTTCTGAGCTCTGTGACCAAGGGCATACCACTTGACTTCTCTGAGCCTCAGTTTCCCCAGCTGTTAAATGGGGATGGTTTCACTCGTATGGCAGGACAGCTAGATGTTAAATGAGAATATACAAAGCACAGGACTTGGCACACAGCAGGCGCCCAGAACGTCTCTCCCCGGCCTGGCTCTGCCCTGCAGCGTGTTTCTCGTTTGGCATAAGCTTGGGCTGCCAGGATCTGGGGTGCAGTCAGGCTATGGAGAACCAACGAGGTCTCAGCTGAGCCTATTTGCAGTCAGGCTAAGGAGAACCAACGAGGTCTCAGCTGAGCCTATTGGACTCATGGCCCAATCTGATGGAAAAGTGGCAAACACAGGTAAAAGGTCAGAGCCATTCAGTAGAAGGGTGATAGCAGAACATGATCCGGCTCCAGCCAGCTGCAAACCTGCACGCTTCCCTTCTATGCATGACCCAGTCCTGTTCACACGTTGAGGCCCAGCTCAAATAAATGCCACCTCCTTCAGGCGGCCCTCTCTGAGCCTCCAGGGAAAGTGGTCTCCTTATGGTGCTTTATCTGCCTCTGCACCGCAGGAAAGAAACAGAAAGACTTGGCCGGGTGTGGTGTGGCTCATGCCTGTAATCCCAGCACTTTGGGAGGCCGAGGTGGGCAGATCACCTGAGGTCAGGAGTTCGAGACCAGCCTGGCCAACATGGTGAAACCCCGTCTCTACTAAAAATACAAAAATTAGCTGGGCATGGTGGTGGGCCGCCTGTAATCCACAGGCGATTCAGGGGGCTGAGGCAGGAGAATCGCTTGAACCCGGGAGGCAGAGGGGTTGGCAGTGAGCTGAGATTACGCCATGCACTCCAGCCTAGGAGACAAAAGCGGAGACGTTGTCTCAAAAAAAAAAAAAAAAAAAAACAGAGAGAAAGACTTTTGTTCACCACTTTCTTCCTCAAGTTACTGTGGTTCCATAATGTTTGAATGAGAAATGAAACTGTGGTTATTTATACAATACCATATGGTCTTCCTAATAAATCATAACATATTATAACACAACATTCATTAGAGTCTGTCTTGCCTACTACTGTACCATCCATTCTAATATAAAGCGTCTATTCTGTTTTGTGCGGTAAGACACAAATAGCTGTTTGAGTAAATCATCAAGGAATGATGATAAGCTTCACGAGGGCCAAAACCAGCACTTTACTCTCCCAGCGTACCAACACAGAGTCTCACCTCGTGCTGGTATGCAGGCAGATGTCATAGGGCGATGGCGGGGTCGGGATGGATTTTGGGCTTGTTGTCAGGGGTAGGCGGTCTCCCCAACTCTCTCCTTTTTCATCATCTTTATTGAAAATGGCCTTAATGCCACCAGTCGCCTCGACTCTGAAGCTTAGGTGTATCATTTGACAAACCTTAGTCTTTGCTCTACTAAACACTTCATACTGTTGCTATTATAATTCCGTGCATAAATAAATGGTACAGAAAATATGATTCATGGCTGGCTGTGTGGGCTCTGACACCTATTCAGCCATTTTTGAGCTGCGGTGGGGTGGTCATTGAGGTCAGGAGTTCTACGACCAACCTGCCCAACATTCAAACCATCTCTGATAAAATACAAAATCTGGGCGCGGTGACACCACACTGTGGTCAATCCAGCTAACTTGGGAGGCTGAGCAGGAGAACTGCTTGAAACCGGGGGGGCGGTTGAGGTGAGTTGAGTTGCGCCATCGCACTGCTCGGCAACGAGGGCGAAACTTGGTCCTCAAAAAAAAAAAAACAAAAAAAAGAAAAGACAAGAAAAAGATTCCACTCTGTGTACTCTTCTTTTTATTTTTTTATTTTTGTAGTTTTTTTTTTTAGGAGAGACGGGGTTTCACCCCGTTGTTAGCAAGGATGGGTGTTTGATCCTTCTGCCTTGTGTCCGCCGTCTTGCCTCCAAGGAGTGGCTGGCACTTCAGGCTTGGACCACGCGCGCCTGGCCTCTTCTTTTTTAAAGTGTGCTTAATTTCATTGAATGCCACTTGAAGGGGCTTCCCATGAGATTTGCAATTGCAAAAACTGAGATCCAAAGATTAGACAGTGTGTGCCATTGGCTTGGAATTCTTTTTCACTGTGCGATTTACTTGTGGTGCTCCGTATATATTTTTTTTTTTTTTTTTGCCTTGGGCCTCTTCCCTCTCCATGAAGTTCCATCCAGCCATGCTGCGGTGTTAGTTCATCAAACAGGTCCAGGGGCCTTTAAATTCCAGTCTTGTGCGTGCCATTGTTGCCTTGGTGCCCCCTTCTCCTGCACTCTGGGGCCCTCTAACGGGAGAGCCGCCCCTCTCTCCTCTAAGCCCATCACCCACAGCTGAATTATAGCCTTTCTCACATCGCATCATGTGGTGTTTGTTTATAAGTCAAACTGATGCTTTGTTTATTACCATATCACAGGAAAACGACTGGGCAGATTTCCGCCAATTTTGGAGAGTGAGTTTTGGGTGGTCTGACTCAGAAAGTAAACCAGGCAGCATATGCAAAACCCACTCGACAAAGACCTGGGGGAAGGGGTGCCCTTGAAAAGAGAGGCAGTCATTTTTCCTGGCGGCTGAAACGGAGGGGCCCTGGCCTGTGCAGCTGCTGATCCTCTGGGATGTACCTCTGCACAAACTGTCACAGGCAGGAGAACGACCAGTGGCATCCCCATCAGCCCCCACTTGAAGGTCGCAATGGTGGCGGCTCCGCATTGCAGACGCTGATGGGTAGCCGAGCTGCTTCTCACATGGCTGAGTGGCAGCAGCACTGACTTCTTTAGAAGCCTCATAAGGACCACAGTGGGGCCGGGCGCACTGGTTCACGCCTGTAATCCCAGCACTTTGGGATAGTGGGGCCGGGCCCACTGGTTCGCGCCCGTAATCCCAGCACTTTGGGAGGCCGAGGCTGGGGAACACTGCAGGTCAAGCATTCGAGGAGTCTGTCTTGCCTACTGCTGTAGCCATCATTCCTATATAGCGTCTGATTCTGTTTTGTGGGTGGCACATGCTGTAATCCCAGCTACTCGGGAGGCTGAGGCAGGAGAATCGCTTGAACCCTAGGTGGAGGTCTCAGTGAGCAGAGATTGCACCACTTGCACTCCACAGCAAGACCCTGTCTTAACAACAAAAAAATCTTATAACTTGGATCACATGGGTTTTGTGCCCCACAATAAGTCCCTGGGTAAGCCATGCTAAGTTGGGGTCTCTGTCCCTGCCAACTTTGAGCTAGGGAGTTAGGTCCAGCCTTCTCAGCTCTGCCAAGTCCATCAGTAACCCTGGAGCTGAACAAAACAGCAGTGAGTGACAGACCCTGAGCCCACGGGGCCCACCACGTGATCCCAGACTTCCTGGCACCTCCTGCAAAGCCAGCAGCCCAGCTCCCTGCTGGCACCTCTTCCTTCACTTCCTCTCCCAGGCCTGGGCAGAAAGGTCCAGGGCGTGGGACACAGTGGCCTTTCGTGGCCTTTCGTGGCCCTTTCCTCAGTAACCACTAGGCTTGGCTGAGGCAGAGAGGGTGGGGGTGGGAAACTGTCAGGCTGCATGGTTGGAATACACACAGCCCCTCCCCCACAAGCCTGGGACATGGTGTCCCTGCGTGACCCACCTAATGTCTGCCCTCTGAAGCTCGGTGTCTTCCAGAGGCACTGACCCCCCTCTGGATATAAAAGCTGACATTTACAGAATGGTTGCCGTGTGCCTGGCTCTACGCTGAGTTCGTCTGTGTCTAATCTCAGCAGATCCTCCCCATGGCCTCAGGACAGAGCCTATTATCACCCCTGCCTGTTCCACAGATTGGGAAACTGAGGCTTAGAAAGGTTACTTGGCATATCCAGGACATCCCAGGTCATGGGCAGCAAAGCCAGGATTCACACTCAGGTCCAAAGCTCCAAAGCTTAACATCCCCCTAGTCTACACTGCGTCTCATCCTCGGGGCTCCAGGACACCCGGCCCTCTGTTTCTGAAGCTTGTTTTGATCCATGAGTAGTGAAGCTGAGCATTTTTCCAGGTCTCCGGCCTGGAATGCAGGGCTGTGTGTCAACCTTCTCCCCAGCGTCTCCCTCTCCACACCTTCAGCGTGCTCCCTTGCAGGCCAGACCTAATGAGCAACTGAGCCTGTGGGGCGACCCCTGAAAGTAGAGAGGGCCATGATCTTCGGGGGACCCCCTATGATCAAGGTTCCCAGGACCCCATTAGCACTGGCTGCAAACTTTGAGCAGAACTTGGGAGGGGACAAATGGCCCATATATGACTTCAGGGTGGTTTCTTGGACCCTTTAGTCTTTACTGCCCCATGAAGGAAAGGAAGAAAGCCCATCTGCCTTCAGTGTCCCACTCTGGGAGGCGCTGCTCCCTCCCCTGCGCAGGACACCTGACCCTCCTGCCCTCACCTGAGAGTCGGAGATTTCTGAGGGCTTCTCGGTCAGGCTGCTGCTCTCTGCAGGGATGAGGTCATTGTACTTGGTGACATCCTCATCCGAGTAGTGCAGGCTGCCCGGGCTGGGCCTGGGGGGAGACCTGGAGAGAGTGGGAAGTGGGGCTGAGAGGTGCACTCACTCAGAGCAGCCTCCCCTGGCCTAGGGAGACCACAGCGGGGCCTGGGGGGCATGGATCCCTGCCACCCTGTGCTCCTCCTCCTTCCTGGGTCTGCCTTCCAGGGGCCTGGGCCTGGGAGATAGGAACCTGGAGGAGGGCAAAGAGGGAAAAATGGGGTGCCAGGCTAATGCTGTCATGGCAACATGCAGGGTGAATGTAGGGGGAATGTCACCGTGGCTGGGTTCAGGACCCCACATCCTGGGGTTGCTTTGGTGCAAATGGGATTTTTGTGCACACCCAGTGGCTTTGGGGGCACACAGTGGCCTGGATGTGTGTGCACTGTGGGTAGGAGAGGCTGGGAAGGGCAGGCGAAGGTGAGGCCATGTGTGAAATGCCCCCTTGTTACATGTGGCAGGGCCCCGGAGCCAGCCTGGTGGGGCTGCTGTGGTCATGCTGGGCCTGGCTGGGCCCGCTGTGGGGGCCTCAAACAGCTCTTTCTTTGGAAGGCTGGATTTGGCAGAGGATAAGAGCTCAGCTTTGGGAGCCCCTCCCTCCATCCTCTAGATGAACACACACGTAGCTTCGTCCCTCTAAGACAGAGACAGAGGGAAGCTTTGTGAGCTCCTGAGTGAGGCTGGACTCCTCCTGACTGCCGCCTCCAGTGAGCTGGGAATGCCAATAGGGCTGAGGCTGGAGACAGGAGCCCTCTGGCCCACTCTTTCTTGAGCTCAGGGGAACAGAAAACCGCCACACATCAGGGGAGGGTCAGGTGGGCCCTAGCAGCTGCTCCTGCCCTTGGAAATGGGCAGCCCAGTGGCCATAAGGAGTAGGGACTAGGAGGGGGCTGGGGTTAGAAAGAAGTCAGGAGGAAACAGCAGCTGTACTCACGCCACCAGCCTGGTCCTGTCCTCATGGGCTGCTTTCAGATGCTGCCCTTTGAGGCTAATGGGGATAGGAGGTTGTCCTTTAATAGGTAGAAATAAGGACCGGGGGAGAGGGTTTCCCAGATGGGGAGGAAGACGGTAGGACATAGTGATAATGGGGGTGCTCAGGCGTCCTTCGCTAAGGTGTGTTTGTTCGGTCTGCGTTGGCTGGGCCTGTCTTGCCTTTGGGGCAAGTGACAATCTCCAGGGCTGTTTCCCTGGCAGTTGGCTCCGAACAGCAGTAGGTTGGTTTGCAACATTTTGCCAGTTATTTGCATTCTGCTGTCACTGTCAGGAACTCTTAGTAGTTACCTCCTTGTAAATTTCTCCCCAGTGTGCCCTCACCCCCAGGTTGTGACTGGGCATGGTGGGGACTGGGACAGGCCCCTAGTTGTCCTGCTTGGGCCTCACCGGTCTTTCTGCTGACCATTCCCAGCCCTGGGGCTTGAATGGTGTTTCCCAGGACAAGGTATGGCCAGGTAAGCACTGCCTGCTCTATGGCCCTCCCCAGCATTCTCCCGACCTGGGCACTGCTGGGCCTGGCCCCCCAAACCCGCAGAGGGCCCAGTACCTGGTGTACAGGCCGTTCTTTCGGCAGAAAGAATTCTTGACGGAGAGCCGCCTGTTGTTGAGTTCCAGGGCAGGGAAGCTGCTTTCATCTAAGCTCATCATCTCGCTGTGGCCTAGGGCTCCAGACTTGGCACTGTTCCCTGAAGTCAGGGGGAGATTGACACCCTTTAGACTGTGGCCTCCCCTCTCCCATACCACTTCCCACCTGGCTGGGTTATCCCCTCTTTCTTTTGGTAGAGTTGAGACCAAAATAAGAGGTTGAGATTGTGTATAGAAACCCTAGGCTTCCCCACCCACCAGAGCAGATGTGCTGCCAGGAGAGGGACCTGATCACCCCTGTCCTGGCCAAAAGGGAGATATGTAAAAGTCAAGTCCAGCCAGCACGGCTGGTGCCAGCTTACTCACCTGAATCTGTCTTCTTGGCGTACTTCTTGCTCTGGCCCCGGATGATGAGCACGAAGACCAGAAGCAGAATGAAGATGAGGCCAACCAGGGCGATGACCACCAAGAACCACCACTCCTCGTAGAAGGGGTTGGCTTTCTGGGCTGGAGCATGGATGGGGTTAGGTATATAGAGTGCTCAGCCCCCTCCTCCCTCCAAATCTCCTGCTCCGGTTGGGACCCTACCAAATGCTCACAATCTATGGGAAGGCAGGGTCTGTGCCCTCTGAATGAGGGAGAACCTCTGTAAGGATAGTTTCACCTCAAGTACCCACTTTGATCAGTCGGTAAAGGGCTCCCTGGAGGGGTGATGTGAGATGAGTTCTGAGGTGGCTACCTGGCTCAACAGGAAAGAGTGCTAAGATTGATTAGTGATATCTGCTAGGGACATAGGAGGGGAGAGTGGCAGTGTGTTGGCTACTTTTCCTTTTTCTTTTTTTCTTTTTCTTTTTTCTTTTTTTTTTTTTTGAGACAGAGTTTCACTCTTGTTTCCCATGCTAGAGTGCAATGGCATGACCTTGGCTCACTGCAACCTCTACCTCCTGGGTTCAAGCAATTTTCCTACCTCAGCCTCCCGAGTAACTGCGATTACAGGTGCCTGCCACCACATCCGGCTAATTTTTGTATTTTTAGTAGAGACGGGGTTTCACCATGTTGGCCAGGCTGGTCTCGAACTCCTGACCTCAGGTGATCCACCTGTCTCGGCCTCCCAAAGTGCTGGGATTACAGAGGTGAGCCACCATTCCCGGCCCCTTTTCTTTTTTTGTTTTGTACTTGTCTAGGGGCTATCTTGATAAGCAGACTTCAATCTCATGGGGAAAGGTACTTCTCTGGCCTGCAGGAGGCTGAAAGAGCTTTTCCTGAGGTTCAGTTTGGAGTGAAATTTTTGCTGGTGACAGAAGGCAGCGGGAACCGGGAGGATGGACACAGGGATTCTTTAGTAAAAGGTGAAAGATTTACACGATCCAGAGCATGGTGAGAGGGTCTTTAAGATGTCTCTTCCAGGTAGAGCTCCCTTCTTTCAAAACCCCTAGACTGTGCTTTCTGCACCCAGCCAGGACTACTCATGCTGTGTGGACAAGGGGTGGGCTCTCTGTTTCAGCCTTGAGGCACTTCTGTCCCAGGATTTGGTTTTACCAATGCGGGTAAAAGATTTCGTTCTCTCAGTGTGGGCAATGTGTGGCACGGGGAGGAGGCTGGGTTCCTTTGAGTTGTGCTTCTGCTTGGGGGAAGGGGCCTTTGTATTCAGAGTGCTTAGCAATAACATTTTGGGTCATGGGTTTAGAGAGCAGAGCCCTTTGTGCGCTCTAAGACATGCCAGACAGGAAGAATGAGGGGAGGAAAACGGGAGGGGTGGTGACCCTGCTGCACCCGGGTACTGCCCAGTCAGGCCTAAGGCCCACCTGTGTCACTACTGCTCTGCAGCTGCTGACCCTGCCACGTTGGGGCTGGAGGTTTCCATGGAAAGACAGTTATGGCCTGGAGCCCCTGAATGTCCTGGGTGATGAGCGCATGGAAGTTTGCATCTTGGGCCCTCTGCTCTGCCCCTACCCGGGGCTTCTGGAGTCCTTAAAAGGGAGCCCCAAGATCAAGGCCCCTGGCGTCCTCTGGCCTTGAGGGCTGACCCAGGCCTGGGCACCAGGACTTGCCTCTTCACAGCCCCGAGGGGACAATGCGTTTTGGTTCCCGCCACATGCTCCTGGTGCCCTGATGCCTCTCCTCCTTCCCCCCTGCCCCGCGTCAGCCTGCAGGCTCTGCTGTGGGGCTCCCCTACTCCCTCAGCCCCCAGGCTGGTACCTGGCACAGACTGGGAGGGGCTGCTGGGGGTGCCGAAGCCGTAGTCGTTGACCGCGATGACCCGGAAGTCATAGCTCACGCCCGGTTTCAGGATGTCCATGCTGAACGTGTAGGAGCTCACCTCCTTGGGGATGTCTTTGATGAGGATGTCCCATAGTCCCTCGTCTGCAGGAGCACAGAGAGGGAGGCCCTGGGAGATGAGGGGGAGCCCCAAATGCCGCTCCCAGCCCCGTCCTATGTTCCCTGAGGGCTGGGCCTGTGGGATCCGCCTTGTTCTACACGGAATCGCAGGCCTTGGTCCTCCCTTGAAGTTTCTGAAAAAGACACCTTTTGGATGAAGCGCGGTGGCTCACGCCTGTAATTCCAGCACTTTGAGAGGCCGAGGCGAGTGGATCACCTGAGGTTAGGAGTTCGAGACCAGCCTGGCCAACACGGCGAAACCTTGTCTCTACTAAAAATACAAAAACTAGCTTGGCGTGGTGGCACATGCCTGTAATCCCAGCTACTGGGGAGGCTGAGGCAGGGGAATCGCTTGAACCTGGGAGACGGAAGTTGCAGTGAGCTGAGATCATGCCACCGCATTTCGGCCTGGGCAACAGAGCAAGACTCAGTCTCAAAAAAAAAAGACAGGCCGGGCGCGGTGGCTCAAGCCTGTAATCCCAGCACTTTGGGAGGCCGAGACGGGCGGATCACGAGGTCAGGAGATCGAGACCATCCTGGCTGACATGGTGAAACCCCGTCTCTACTAAAAAATACAAAAAACTAGCCGGGCGAGGTGGCGGGCGCCTGTAGTCCCAGCTACTCGGGAGGCTGAGGCAGGAGAATGGCGTGAGCCCGGGAGGCGGAGCTTGCAGTGAGCTGAGATCCGGCCACTGCACTCCAGCCTGGGCGACAGAGCGAGACTCCGTCTCAGAAAAAAAAAAAAAAGACACCTTTTGGAGCATCTCTTTTATTCTTTTTATTAAAATATCTGTACTACATTAAAAGATATGTACTGTGCAGAAAGTACTGTCACAACCAATGACAGTACCACCGTCCAGAGAAACAGGCTCAACAAGTTAGCACTTGTGCAGGCAGAACACTACAGATTCTGTCTTCCACATCATTAAAAACGGTTGGAAACATGATTTTAAGTGACTGCCTAAGATATTACCATATGGGAATACCCTCTTCTTTACTTAACTAGGCCCTGTTTTTCTAACCCCCTTTCCTAATTCAAAACATACACAGTGGTGGTGGCAGGAGACAAAAGTAAGAGTGCTATTTTTCTTCCTTTTTTTTTTTTTTGAGACAGTGTTTCGCTCGTCGCCCAGGCTGGAGTGCAATGGCATGATCTCGGCTCACCGTAACCTCTGCCTCCCGAGTTCAAGGGATTCTCCAGCCTCAGCCTCCCGAGTCCCCCATGCCTGGCTAATTTTGTACTTTTAGTAGAGATGGGGTTTCTCGATGTTGGTCAGGCTGGTCTCGAACTCCCGACCTCAGGTGATCTGCCCGCTTTGGCCTCCCAAAGTGCTGGGATTAAAGGTGTGAGCCACTACACCTGGCCATTTTTTTTTTTTTTGATATGGAGTCTCACTCTGTCATCCAGGCCAGAGTGCAGTGGTGCCATCTCAGCTCACCGCAACCTCCACCTCCCAGGTTCAAGCTATTTTCCTACCTCAGCCTCCCAGGTAGCTGGGATTACAGGCTTACTCCACCACATCCAGCTAAATTTTGTATTTTTTAGTAGAGACGGGGTTTCATCATGTTGGCCAGGCTGGTCTTGAACTTCTGAGCTCAGAAGGCCAAGGCCCGCCTTGGCCTCCCAAAGTGTTAGGATTACAGGTATGAGCTACCACACCCAGTCTTTTTCGTTTCTTTTAAATAACAGCCACAGGAAAGATTTGGTTTTAAAAAAATTATTTTGAGACAGGGTCTCGCTCTATTGCTGAGGCTGGAGTGCAGTGGTGTGCTCTCGGCTCACTGCAGCCCCAACCTCCCGGGCTCAAGCGATTCTCCCACCTCAGCCTCTCAAAGTGCTGGGATTATAGGTGTGAGCCACCAGGCTCAGCCAACAGGAAAAATTTGGGTTTCCCGAGTGGGTTTAATCAAGTTGCCTGGATCTGGCGAGCTCCTCTTCAGTCACCTTCTTTCTTAGGAGACGAGCAGAGAAAGAGGGACCGCAGGCGCCCGGGGTCCCCTGTCTGTTCACCCCGTGTTGGCCTCAGCCACCTCTGTCCTTTGCACCTGAGCTTCCCTCAGATCCCCTTCCCCTCTCTATCTGTGGCTCTCTGGGCCTTGCCCTCGTGGGATATCATTCACCTTCATGCTGTTTAATCGGAGCGGTGTGGGTGCTGCCTGGGTCGGGGAAGAGGCAAGCCCATGCCACAGCCCTGGGCATCCATCATGTTGGTGGGGAGGGCAGGAGGGGCCCTGGCTGCACGCTCTGGGTGGGGCCGATGGGGTCAGCCTGGCCCCGAGAGAGGTGCATCTTCCTGCTGGTGGCAGTGCAGGGCTGATTTGGAAACCAAAGTATCTAAGTCACCTTGGGCCTGGTCAGACCGCTCTTCACAGTAGAAGGACATCAGTGAGGCCCAGCTCGCAGGTTCTCTCTGTCTGGCCTGCTCCAGGGAGGTCGCCCAGTGGCCAATCTTGCTATTCTGCTTCTGCACCCTCTGGTGGAAGCTGCTCTCCCACCAGAGGTGTGCCCAGCTCGGGGCCGCCCTTCCCTAGAGATGATGATTTTATTTGTTTTCCTCACCATACTTCCTCACAGACCCAGTTGTGTAAGTTGAGCACTGCAGCAGAGGCGCCTCCATGCTCTGGCGTCCTGTCTGAATTTTGGACCCAGTGGTGGGACCTGATGAGGGGGCTGCCTCCTCACTTCCAGTGTGGATCCTTCCAATTTGGGGAAGGCCATGGAGACCTAGGCTGCATCAGAGGTGTCCTTGCAGAAGGCTCCAGGGTCCCAAACCTCAGCCTCATTGTTGGTCTTATTTGTTTTTAAGCCTCTGCCTGCTACGCCTCCATCTTTTTTTTTTTTTTTTGAGACGGAGTCTCGCTCTGTCGCCCAAGCTGGAGTGCAATGGCACGATCTCGGCTCGCTGCAAGCTCTGCCTTCCATTCAAGAGATTCTCCTACCTCAGCCTCTTGAGTAGCTGGGATTATAGGCACCTGCCACCATGCCTGGATAACTTATTTATTTATTTATTTGGAGATGGAGTCTCGCTCTGTCACTCAGGCTGGAGTGCTGTGGCACGATCTCGGCTCACTGCAACCTCCGACTTCCGGGTTCAAGCAATTCTCCTGCCTCAGCCTCCCGAGTAGCTCAGATTACAAGCACGCGCCACCACGCCCAGCTAATTTTTTTAAATTTTTTTAGTTTTAGTAGAGATAGGGTTTCGCCATGTTGGCCAGGATGGTCTTGATCTCCTGACCTTGTGATCTTCCTGCCTTGGCCTCCCAAAGTGCTGGGATTACAGGTGTGAGCCACCATGCCTGGCCCATCTTTTCGTTTAATATCTTTCTTTCTCTCTTTCCCCTTTGCTGGCTGTGAAATCCCTCAAGAGCAAGGATCATGACTAATTCATCTTAAGTCTTCCTTAGCCCAGCACCCAGCACAGACACCTTCTCACCATTTGTTGAATAAATAAATGGAAACTTTCTTCCCTGGCCTTTTCATAGCATGAGGTGCCCAGTTTCAGAACTTCATGCCTTGAAATTTTAGTACTAGGGTGCAAATCCATTTTCCTCACATGCCTCTGAATTCTCTCACTCATCTTTGAATGATGTCATAATGATGATGATGGTGACAACAGCTGACACTTACGCCTCTGTCAAGCATCCTGGGTCTACATGCTTTCCTTTTCAAATCCATAGCAATGGCAAGAGGGAGGAACTGCTGTCCCCATTTTACAGATGAGGACACCAAGGCCTGGAGAAAGCTTCACTCATCTTCCCAAAGCCCCACGCTGTCAGCAGCAGAGCTGGCGTTACTGCCTGGGGCCACCTCATTTCTGGCACCGAACTTCCCTGCTCAATGCAGTCAGGAGTTGGACCTGTGTTTGCTGGATGGGCTGGGATCGTTGAAGCCTCTGCTCCTGCCTTCCAGAAGCTGGGATCTCCTGTCTGCTGTTTAACCCCCTTGTTCCACCCCACACAGGGACAAAGGGTGGGGCTGGGGCAACCAGGCCAGGCCAGAAGCTGCTGGAATGTCACGCTGGGGCTCCAGCCACCAGCCCAGGAGTTGGCTGATGTGCAGGACAGGCTCCTGGGGCTGTAAATCCCTCAGCGAACCCCTCCCTGGGTCTGCAGCGCCTGGCAGCTCCTGGCTTGTAGAAAGGGGGTGTATTTAGTTTATCCTGCCTAGCCCGAAGCACACGCAATTCAGGGGCAAGTGTAGGACAAGGGCTATGCCATCCTGAGGATGAGAAGGGAAGCACAGAAGAAGGAACGGGGGCACTGAGGGGAGAGATGTTCACCCCATAACAGCAGCCTGCCCTCAAACAGCCTTAGGGACAGGCCACCACGCCCCTTGCCCCCTCTCCTCCCTCCTCCCCTTGCCTGGTTACTGATCCTGTCCTCTGCTCTCTGGCCCTGGTCCTGCTCCAAGTCCTGGTTTCTCACAGGGCCCTGGCTTGGTCCTTACTTTTATGCTCAGGGCTTGATTCCACCACTGTGGACCAAGTCACAGCCCTCAAACTTGGAACACCAGAGTCTCACGCTGAGCCTCCCAGGAAACACTGGAGAATCAACAGGGCCAGAGTCAGGGGCCAACATTCCATAGCCTGGCACCCCAGCTGGCCAACTTGGGTGGAATAAACAGGTGCAGGCCCTGGTTGGGAGAAGCACGTAGTAGTCTCCTGGCCAATTCAGCAGCCGGCACCAGAGGGCCAGGGAGGGACCATCTGGAGTGGGGAGAGAGCCAGCCCTGCGTGCATCCTCTGGTCACGCAGCAGATCTGAGCAGCTAGATGTATTCACTACATGCAACTGCGATTCTTAGCATGTGATTAAGGCAGGAGCGGTGCTAGTGGCTTCCAGGAACTACTGGAATTATTAACTCTTTGCTATTGGGATGATTAGTGCCTAGCTACCTCAAAGTATTAACAATTTGTCACTGGGATGTTTCCATATTCCCCATCAGAAGTATTAGCTACCGAGATGCCTGGTGACGTCCCATTATGATTGTCATTTGCTATTTGGGCTAGAGCAACAAAGCCTTGTTTTCCTTCTCAATTTTAATCACCTAACCGTGGATCCATGGGATAGAGAACAGGCCTCCTGTTCTTGCTGACTCTGGCACCTCTGATTAACTTGGAAACCTAGCAACGCAGGGAGCTGGCAGTGGCTGCGAGCTCCTGCGAGTAAGCAGAGCCCAGCAAGCGGGTGTCAGGATGGGTGAAACTGGAGCAGTGGAGAGCAGCCCCCTAGAGTGACTTATCTGTCACTCATCTGATGGCTTTGGAAGTTCTTGTGATTCAATTTCAGGCTTGACAGGAGAGGCTGGTACGATTACAGCAGCCACCGAGACAGCCATGGTGGCAGAGACAGGGCTTTGAGAGGCAGCTGGGGTCTTTTAGTTAGGGGGCACCCATCAGTGGGGTCGTGTGGAGGATTTGGTGTGTGAGCCACGTGCACCACGTGCACCACGTGCTCGGGCTTCTGGCATCCTGAGCAATCCTCAACCCAAGCTGGTCCTCAGCTAGCACTAAGAGCCCTTCTCTGGGGGCCTCCTGGGGGTTACTTAGCCAGGAGTCCAGCTCTAGGAGCACCCCCACCTGGTTTCCCACTCCTCAACAGGGCCAGGTGACTTCACCTGTAGCATAGGCGCCTTCTCAGGCGGACGACAGACGCACGTGCCCCAGGTGGAGGGACCCGGGAAGGAGGGAGACAGTGAGCCGTGGGGTCTCAGCCCAGCAGGGCGGGGCGCACCTGAAGGCCTGGCCTCGATGACGTAGCGGGTGATGGGCCCTTTGCCCGGGTCTCCGCTGGACCAGTGGATGGCGATGGCGGAGCTGTACCGCACGATGATGGGCACGCCGGGCGGTCCTGGGGCACCTGCAGACAGCACACAGAGGCAAGGGATGTATAGAACCCAGAACAGCCACCCAGCCTGTCACCCTGGGCTCGAGGAGGAGCGCTGGGTGACAAAACCAACCCTGGACAGACAGCCGCCAGGAAGCCCTGCAAATGTCGAGGCCTGAGAGTGCCTCTCAGGCTGGGCCTGCCAGGATGGACTGTTGTCCCCTCTAGGCCACCCCTTTGCGCCACACTCCAAATCCCAGGGCAGAAAACAAATGGAATGGTCCAGAAAGGTCCCCAGAGTAGAGTCAGGAGACCTGGGTTCCAGCCCAGAACGTGTTAGATGGGTGATTTTGATCAATTCACAGAGCCTTCTAGTGCCTCAGTTTCCACCCCTGTAAGGGCCTTTTGGAAGGTAAGGCTTGAAGGCTGTGTCCTGGATCAGGGGCAGGGAGCAGGGGGGCGGAATAGAGGTGGGTGCGATGATGGCAGAGTGGGCCCATGAGAGGAGGGGGCTGGTCGGAGTGGGGCTGAAGAGTCCACAATTTCTCCCTCCTAGTAAATGATATGATGTCCGCCCTCCCTCCTGAAATCCCCCAACCTCAACTGTATTTGCTATCAGGTTAGACAAAGGGAGAGGGGGTTCATGCCCCAGGAGGCCTTGCAGCCTCTGCTGCTAGGAGGAGGGAGGAAGGACTGGGCCCCTTGCAACTCTCCTGGCATGAAGGTACGTCAGGAGCAGGCTGGGATGTGGGCCAGTCAGGGAGCCGGCCCTAGGAGCCGGAGCAGATGAGAGGAAGTGACTTCTGCAGTGAGAGGAGCCAGGTGTCTGTCTACAAGGGGCGCTGAGCCCCTTCTCTTGGGGGTGCCCATCCAGAATCCCGACCCCACATACTGTCACCTCCAATCCTGTTCCCCATCAAAGGTGGGGCTCTGTACCCCCAGAGCTGGGCACACAGTAGGTGCTTCCTCTGTGCTTAGGGGATGAGGGAGGGAACCAGTGCATGAGTGGGTGGCCACCTGGTTTGTTGGTGAGGGGGGTCTCTGTGGATGCCTGCCAGGAAGAGAGCAGAGTCTAGCCTCACACTGATGCTCCCCCAGGGCCCTGGAGAGCCAGCAAGCCAGACAGGAGGCCAGGGACCCGCTCACACAGACCTGGCAGCCCCGCCCAGCCCCTATGCCCACTCCATCGCTCACACAGCCTGGCAGCCCCGCCCAACCCCTATGCCCACTCCATCGCTCACATAGCCTAGCAGCCCCACCCGGCCCCTATGCCCACTCCATCGCTCACATAGCCTGGCAGCCCCGCCCGGCCCCTATGCCCACCCCACGGCCTTAGAGGGCACCATTTCCTTCCTTCCCTAAGGAGCAGACTGTCCGCAGCCGAAGGGCAGAGTCAGGTGGGGTGGACACGCCTGAGAGTGTGGTAGGGCAGGCAGCCCTTAGGACCCTGTACTCTTATCGCACACAGGATAGTGCTCAGGCCTGAGGATGGAGCCCGTACGTTCTCTGGGGCCAGGAGCTTCCAGCGAGTCCAACCACGGCCTGGCTGCATGTTCCCCCGCTGCAGACCCCGCCTTGCACCCACACCATGTGGGGAGGATGGCTTCTTTATTTCTTTTTTTGAGACATGTTCTCACTCTGTTGCCCAGGCTGGAGTGCAGTGGCACGATCACAGCTCACTGCAGCCTCCACCTCCTGGGCTCAAACGATCCTCCCACCACAGCCTCCGGAGTAGCTGGGACTTCACGTATTCACCGGCGTGCCTGGATAATTTTGTTTTTGTAGAGAGGGGGTTTGCTGTGTTGCCCAGGCTGGTCTTGAACTCCTGGGCTCAGGCAATCCACCTGCCTTGACCCCCCAAAATGCTGGGATTACAGGCGTGAAGCACTGTGCCCTGCTGGTTCTGTCTTTCTCAGAGTGCCCTCCACTACCTTCTCTGTATCCTCTGCCCTTTCTCTCCTCCCACCTCCCCACCTCCCACCTGGGACACTTCAAGCCTCAGGATAGAATAACCTGTCCTCCGCACAGGCCTCTCCTGTCCCCAGGCCACTGCCAACGCTTGGTCCTCAGTTGCCTGCCAGCTCTCTCTCCTACTTTTGTTTCCCAGGAAGCTGGTTCCGGTGAGAGGCAGTGTGGGGCGGAGCTGGGGGTAGATGAAGGACAGCGGCTGGGTGGCTTCTGGGCCCTCCTGCAGGCTTTGTCCTGAGTTTGCCCTAGAGCCCAGGGCTTCTTTGCAGAACCAGACTGTGGGGAATAGAAAGTGACTGGCCAGAAAGAAAAAGTGAAGCGTAGCCAGCCTGAGCCATTAGGGTAAGACGGCCTGTAGGGCAGGTGACAGACCAGAACGGGCTGGCCTCCCAGGCCTGGCTCCCCTCCTCAGTCAGGCTAATCAGGCCCCTGGGGAGGGAAGGCCTTCGCCACTCCTGGCTGAAAAGGCAGGGCAGAGGAGGAGATGGGATTTTAGGGGAAGTCCGGGATGGGCTGTACCCCTTCTTAGGGAGGGAGGCAGCAGAGTGGCCTGGGAGGTGGCTTTTGTGTTCAGGACAGGACAGTCCACACTGACTGGTAACAGGGACTTTGGAGGGCTAAACCTGGACCATGGCAAATGCCTTGGGGGAGGAGGGGTGGGAGGGAAAGGGAGGTGAAGAGGACATTTAAAGGAGACGATTGGGTGCGGTGGCTCATGCCTGTAATCCCAGCACTTTAGGAGACTGAGGCAGGTGGATCACTTGAGGTCAGGAGTTGGAGACCAGCCTGGCCAAACCCGGTCTCTACTGAAAATACAAAAATTAGCTAGTTGTGGTGGAAATCACCTGTAATCCCAGCTACTTGGGAGGCTGAAGATTGAGAATTGCTTGAACCCGGGAGGTGGAGGTTGCAGTGAGCCGAGATTGCACCACTACACTGCAGCCTGGATGACAGAGTAAGACTCTGTCTCAAAACAAACAAACAAAAACACCAAAACAACAACAACAGAACAATACAGAAGATGAAGGAAGACTTCCTGGGGTGGGAGGGGGTGGTGCGGTAGGGGGGCAGTTACACACAAAAGGGCATTCTGCGGAGGGGGTGGGTGGTGAGGTGGGGGAGGCAGGGCCCTGGCTGTGAATAGGTGACCTGCTCCATCTGGTGTTTCTCAAGGTGCCACTTTGTCACAGCCTCCAGGGGCTTTTGTGTAAGTGCAGATTGCCAGGTCCCACCTCAGCCCCAGGAAATCAACCCCTCCAAGCATCCACCCTGGGAATGTGCGTTTTAGTGTGCGCTGCTCTGAGAACCGCTGCCTGGAGGGTCAGGGTGGTTCAGGGGCGTGGGAAGATGGCTCTGGCTGGGTGAAAGGCAGGGGCACCTGCCAGGCTGCATCCTTCCAGGACGGAAGTGAAGGAGGCCGTGCAATTAGTGGGGAGAGAAAAAACGGAGCAGGCGCAGTGGCCAGGCCAGGCCTGTGGGCTGGGCCTAAGCAGGAGGGGAGGGGGGCCAGGCCTGTGCACTGGGCCTAAGCGGGAGGGGAGGGGACCAGGCCTGTGCACTGGGCCTAAGTGGGAGAGGAGGGGGAGCTGCTTCAGGGTTTGTGGCTTGAGGAAGCCAAGGACACTGATGCCATTAATCAAAGTGCGGAATCCAGGAGGAGGGAGCGGAGGGATGGTCACCGGGCACCAGAGGAAAGCGTGAGCTCTGTCTTCCACTCTGTTTCCAGGGTCCAGCACAGCTCTTGACACTGGGGACCCCTTCCAACTGAGGGGGCTGAACCGCTGTGTGGAGGACACACCTGGCTCATTGCTCTCCTACCTTCTCCGGGGCCTGTGGTGACGTTAGCTTCGATCTCCGGCCCGTAGGTGAAGGTCTTGGCTCTGATGCGGAACCTGTAGGTCACCCCCTCCGCCAGGTCCTTCACCTTCAGCCACAGGGGGCTGTTCCCCTTCACGTCCACTGTCACGATCTTGCTGACGCCTGGGGGAGGCACAACAAGTGGGGACTGCAGGGGCCACCAGGCGCAGGGCCCACTGAGGGCACTGGAGGACATGGGGAAGGAGAAGCGGCCGTGGCCTGGGCCCCGGGACCCTGGGCAGGGGCCTCACTCCTTGAGGTTAGGCTGAAACGCTCCCCCAGCCTATACAGCCACATTGCCCATGCTGTGTTTCTCAGAGCACGGTCCTGCCTGCTGTTCTCAGGGAGAAGGGCTCCGGGGCTCAGTAAGTTCGAGAAAAGCTACTACTGTCTGTGTCTACTGAGTAGCCACAGGGTCCATCAGCATCTAAAGAAAAGAGAACACTCGCCATCCTGTTTAATGTAACCTCTGCAGCCCAAATACGTTTCACCTCCATTTTTATTCCCTTATGCAGCATCCCATGGGACTAGAATCATATATTTTTTTCAGGAAGTGTTTCCATAAAAATACCAAAAGCCCAGAGTTGGGGGGACACACTTTTGACCAGGTCCTCCACCCGAGCCCCGCTCCAGCTCCACCTCTGAGGTTCAGCCAGGAGCTCATATGGCCCTCCATCACCTATATCTGCCACGTTTTTTTTTTTTTTTTTTTTTTTTAAAGACAAGGTCTTGCTCTGTTGCTCAGGCACAATCATGATTCACTGTAGCCTTGACCTCCTGGGTTCAAGCCATTCTCCCACTTTCAGCCTTCCAAGTAGCTGAGACTATAGGTATGTACCATCATGCCTGGCTAATTTTTAAATTTTTGTAGAGACAGGGTCTCATTATGTTGCCCAGGCTGGTCCCAAACTCTTGGCCTCAAGTGATCCTCCCATCTTGGCCTCTCAAAGTGCTGGGATTACAGGCGTGAACCACTGTGCCCAGTCCACCAAGCTTTTCAGGGCAAAAGTGAGGATGCCTCAGCACCCCAAATCACAGCAACTAGAGGGGAGGCTTGGGCCAGCTTTCAGGAGGTGGGGGTTTGCTCTGTGCTTCACGAATCCAAACACTCCTGACTGCCAGCCTCCCTGGAGCCGGGACTCGCGTCATTTCCCATGTCCCTCAGGCACACCAGTCACCAGTGATAGACAGGCCTTGCAACCAGGAGGCTGGGCTCAGACCCCGTGATGGCGCTGGCCCTGGCATGTCCTTTAACCTGACTTCAGTTTGTTCTGCCGAGTGAGGGTGTCCACAGCATCTTAGCAGGGATGTTATGAGCTTTAAGTAAAATAACAGAGCATGTAGGTGCCTGACCTATTTATTGACTAAGTGCATTATTAATATTATTATTTTGAGGTGGATTTTCACTCTTGTTGCCCAGGCTGGAGTGCAATGGCGTGATCTCAGCTCACTGCAACCTCCACCTCCTGAGTTCAAGCGATTCTCCTGCCTCAGCCTCCTGAGGCCACCACGCCCAGCTAATTTTGTACTTTTAGTGGAGACAGGATTTTGCCATATTGGTCAGGTTGGTCTTGTACTCCTGACCTCAGATGATCCACCGCCTCGGCCTCCTGAAGTTCTGGGATTACAGGTATGAGCCACCGCGCCCGGCCACTAAGTGGATTATTGAATGATGGAACAAAGTAGGCTCAGAGGGGCTTCCTGAAAGAATGAAATGACCCCGGGACCAGGAACAGGGACTCTGGCTACTTGTTCCTTGACAATTCTGCACAAAGCCTTCATCTGCCTGGGCCTTGGTTTTCCCTACAGGACAGTGGGGGCTGCTGGGCTCTTGTGAGGCTGGTTTGCTGCTGACCTGAACCCAGGATGAACTAACTGGGGTGTGGACACTGGGCTGGCCAGGCGGGGCCTCATCTTGCTGCACTTATTAACTGGGCTATTCTGGGAAGATGGGAACATGTAGGGCTGTGGAGTTGAGCCACACTGTCCAGATCCCACCAGACTGTGGACCTGGAAGACAAAGAGCTCACACTGGTCAAGTCGAGAGGGTCCTGGACAGGCCGGGTTGAGGCCCCTGTGAAGAGGGCTTGTACTGGCCCCCTGTATCTTGTCTCGGGGACTGCTGTCCTCTGCCCCACTCTGGCACCTGACTGGATCTCCTGCCGGGCCCGGCTGCCCCCTGGTGTTCTAACGTACAGCTCCCCTTTGCAGAATGAGCTGCTGGCACCCAGGTGGTGGCAGGGAAGACTGAGGGCCATTGTTCCCTGGGCTGACCCAGAACTGCTGGTCCCAGGGCTCCGCCCCTTGTTCTTGCCAGGCTCAGTGATTGGAGGGGGTGAGAGGGAGAGGGGTGGCTCCAGGGGTCAGCCACACCCCCAGTACCTGGCTGGGACTAGTCTCAGGCAGTGAGGAGTGCAGTTTCCTTCCTACCTAAATCCCGTCTTCATAGGCTGTTCGTTGGTAACAAAATGGCAGGGATTTCTAGGCATGTTACCAGGGGTAGAAAGCTGGCAGGTGCCAGATGCCCACTGTCAGGGGCTGCGCAGACCAGCCTAGGAGCCCAGAAATGGGGCACGGTCCCAGCTGGGGCCCGGAGGAAGGGGTCGGAAGACCACTCAGAGGAACAGGGTTAAGGACAAGAGCAAGGTCATTTGCAGAGCAGGGCTCTTGATCTGGGGTCCATAGATGACAGTGGGGGGTGCAGGGACCTCCCTGGTCTTGTGCACCTTCCTGGGGAGAGGCTCTGAAGCTCTCGTCAGATTCTCACCAGATTCTCAAAGGGGTTCCTGACTCCCACAAAAGCTAAAGAAGGACTAACACACAGTAAAGCTGAGAATCCTAAGGTTTGGGAAAGGGCAAAGTAGGAGGACCCTCAGGGGCTCCCTTCTTCTTTTCTTTTTCTTCTTTTTTCTTTTCTTTTTTCTTTCTCTCTCTTTTTTTTTTTTTGAGATGGAATCTAGCTCTGTTGCCCAGGCTGGAGTGCAGTGGCGTGATCTCGGCTCACTGCAACCTCTGCCTCCCGAGTTCAAGCGATTCTCCTGCCTCAGCCTCCCGAGTAGCTGAGACTACAGGCACCCACCACCACCAAAATTAGCCCAGCTAAGTTTGTAGTTTCAGTAAAGACAGCGTTTCACCATGTTGGCCACGTTGGTCTTGGAACTCCTGACCTCAGGTGATCCACCTGCCTCGGCCTCCCAAAGTGCTGGCATTATAGGCATGAGCCACTGCCCCTGGCTGCCCCCCTTCTTTATGGTCTCAACAGAGCCCTGTCCACTCAGGTTTCCCTTCCTTTCCTCCCTGTTTCCATCGACCAAAGGGGGAAGTATATATTTAACGATTCTCTGCCTGGAAGTTAGGAGACCTGGAGCTCTCCTCCAACTCTGCCCTCAACTTGCTGTTGTTTTACCTTGGAAATACCCTTTCCCTTGTCTGGGACTCACTTTCTGTGTTTATAAGATGGGGAGACGCTCACTGAACGTCACTCATGTGTAGTGGCTGCGATGGGTGCCGATACGAGAGCGAGCTTTTGCAAAGTGAGGGGCTGGGGAGCCATGCCGGGGTATCCACTCACCATCCACGGGGCTGCAGGGTTCGTACACCAGCCGATAGCCCCCCAGGACGCCGTTGGGGAACTGCGGGGCTTCCCAGGACACGTTCACCGAGGTTGTGGTCAGCTCACTGAACTTGACGGAGCTGGGAGCGCTGGGGGCTGCGGGAGATAGCAAAGCATTTTTGTTTCCTTCTTCTGTGGAAGTTCAAAGCCCTGGGTGCAGCTCCAAGGAGCTAGCGGGAGTGCTGGGTCTGAGCCCGGGAGGAACAAGAGTGTGGGGCTCGTCAGAAAGGGCGGGCAGGAGGGGTCACTGGAGGTCACCAGGCCCCCTTCCTCTCCTCTCTCAACTTTCCAGTATCGGAGTCCTAAGAACTGGGAAGAAAGAGAACTCGATTTTCCCCTCAAGTTGCAGAATTCAGGCTTCTCCCTGCTAAGTGGCTCTGAGCCCGGGCTATGAGTGTGGGACAAGCTGTCACACCCCCAGGGTCATCATGGGACAAGGGCATTTCCTGACTTTGTGGGGTTCATCTTTTGGCTTTCATGGAGGAGAAGGTAGGGGGTGTCTGGGCCTCAGAACATTCGGTGGGTGCTAAACAAAGACGACGCCAGAACCACAGCAGACGGAGATGGCTTTCCTCTCCTCCTGGGGCCCCAGGGCTTGTCACCGAGGCCCCACGCAGTCAGGGGGAGCCACGCCAAGGACAGTCAGACCCTCTGGGAGAAATGTTTTCTTGGACTGAGAACCCTGTGGCAACCCCGAAAACATGGGGCGGGGGCTCCCCTGAGGGGGAGGACAGAGGAAGGGCAGGAAGCGTCCCAATCTGCGGCATCCCCAGCTGGCCCGGGGAGGATGACCAGGCTATTATTGTCCAGTGCTGCCTCCCCACCAAGCCGGAGCTAATCCAGACCCGCTTCCGGCTCCAGCCCCGGGAGGCAGAGTCAGCGAGTGTCTTTGAAGGAGGGAGGTGAGCTCAGGGGGCCCTTCCTGCCTGCTCTGTGCTACAGGGACGTGGGACAGAACATGTTGTCCTGCTGCCACAGTGACGGAAGCCTCGGGTTCCCTGGGGTTCGCATCCGGCAGACGACACTGACAAGAGAGTGGCTGGGACAGGAGGCGGACGGACAGACTCGTACATTCAGTGGCTCATGCTCATCCTGGCCACCGTCAGACCCTGGGGGTGGTGGAGGGAAAGGGTTCCCTAGAGCCAGGGCTTGTCCCCAAAGAGGGTCATAATGAAGAACTGATGCCACAGGTGTGCCCTCTGTAGCTCTTTAAAAGCCACATGTCACTGACAGCATAGGAAGCAGCAGGGTGAACAAGATACTCGAGGGAGGCCGGGGCAAAAGGCCAGTATTCCAGACTACCAGGACAGAACACTTGGTTCTCTCAGAAATCCTGGGTTCCAGCCTTTGCTCCCCCAGTGACCAGCTGGGGAACCCTGAACAAATAGCATAACTTCCCGGGCGACCCTGGCTCATTGTGAAATGAGGGTGCCGCCTGCCCTGCCTGTCCACGGGGCTTCTGGGAGGGTTAAGTGTGACAGTGCCTGACATCCAGGCTCGCTCTGCACACAGGCAGCAGGATTCTCACCAGCGCCCTCTCCTCTGCACCTGCCACCCTTCAGCCTCCTGATCTCCCCTCCCTGCCTCAACTTTCTCCCCTCTGCCAGGCCATCTTCTGCACAGCAGTCGGGGCACTTTTCTCTAAATGTAAACCAGACCCTGTTGCTCAACTGCTCAAGCCCTCCCATGGCTTCCCAGCGTACTTTTTACTTTTTAAATTTTTTTAGACAGATTCTTGCCCTGTCACCCAGGCTGGAGTGCAGTGGTGCAATCTCAGTTCACTGCAACTTCCACCTTCCAGGTTCAAACGATCCTCCTGTCTCAGCCTCCTGAGTAGCTGGGATTGGAGAGGGGTGCACCACCATGCCCAGCTCATTTTTGTATTTTTTTAGTACAGATAGAGTTTCATCATGTTGGCCAGGCTGGTCTCAAACTCCTGACCTCAAATGATCCACCCACCTTGGCCTCCCAAAGTGCTGGGATTACAGGTGTGAGACACCACGTGTGGTCCATTGTACTTATAATTAATCCCAATCCCAATTCCTCACCCTGAGTTCTCATCCCATTTTCCTGCAAGCCACCTAGCTTTCTCTATGTTCCCTGGTTCTTCTCCAGCCTCCAGTCCTTAGCACCTGCTGTTCCCTCTGCCTGGAACCCCCAACACCCTCTGCCACCTCCTGAGCATCCCATGGCAGGCCTCTTGTCTTTTTTTTTTTTTTTTTTGCTCTGTCACCCAGGCTAGAGTGCAGCAGTGGCACAATCTCGGCTCACTGTAACCTCCACCTCTCAGGTTCAAGCGATTCTCTTGCCTCAGCCTCTTGAGTAGATGGGATTACAGGCACGTGCCACCACGCCTAGATAATTTTTTGTATTTTTAGTAGAGATGGGGTTTCACCATGTTGGCCAGGCTGGTCTCAAATTTCCGTCCTCAGGTGATACACCCGCCTTGGCCTCCCAAAGTGCTGGGATTACAGGCGTGAGCCACCATGCCAGGCCCCTGCTGGCCTCTGCTCATTCAAATCTCACCTTCTCAGGGAGGCCTTTGTGGGTGAACCTATCCAAAGCCATCCACCCACTCCTGCCCCACTCTTAGGTCACCTGTGCTGACCCCCGTCTGCATTTACGTCATCAACTTGCTTATGATCTGTCCCCCGCACTACGGCGGGGACCTTGTTGGTCTCACCATTGTGTCCCTAGCATCTAGCATGGCACAGGCTCATAACACACTCAGTATTTGTGGAATGAACAAAGCCAGAGAGACAGAGGGAAGGCAGGTGGGAAGAAGGCAGGGAGCAGAAGTAAGCTGGCTGGGAGGGGCTGGGGTGCTGACTGTCCCTCTGCAAGGCGGGGCAAAGGATGGGGAGGACAGGGATGAGATGTGGGGGTTTCTCAAGGCTTTATGGGGACAGCCTCTCTCTCCGGAGCTTGGGCTCTCCCACTCGGGAGGGCGTCTCCGGGGACCTGGGTACCACGCCCAGATCCTCGGGGGGATAAGGCAGCTGCCTCCACGCCTGCCAAGAGCCCAGATGCCGGGTGGGTCCTCTTGCAACCCCCTGTGGCCGACCTAACACCCGTCAAGGCCCCCTCTCCCACCTGCTTGCTGGGTCTGGCCTTGGGTGGGGGTGCTCCGAGGCCCATCCCCAGCGGCGTTGAAGGCGGCCACGCTGACCATGTAGGCCGTGTAACCCGTCAAGTTCTTGAGCTTCACACTGTTCTCAGCCAGGAAAAGCGTCTTCACTCGCTCCGTGAGGTTCCCCCGCTGGGCTTCCCAGAAATAAATCTGTGGAAACAGAAGGAAGTGGGAGTGAGGGGGACAGGGGCGATGAGCGTCCCTCCTGTCCCTGCTGACCTGTAGTCTACGAGACAACTTTATTGCTGTGAGTCACCTAGGAAACAGCAGAGAAGTCTTTCAGAGGCCGGGCGCGGTGGCTCACACCTGTAATCCCAGCACTTTAGGAGGCCGAGGTAGGTGGATCACTTGAGGTCAGCAGTTCAAGACCAGCCTGGCCAACATGGTGAATCCCCGTTTCTACTAAAAATACAAAAAAATTAGCCAGGCATGGTGGCAGGTGCCTGTAGTCCCAGCTACTCTGGAGGCTGAGGCAGGAGAATCGCCTGAACCTGGAAGGTGGAGGTTGCAGTGAGCCAAGATTACGCCACTGTACTCCAGCCTGGGCGACAGAGCAAGACTCCATCTCAAAAAAAAAAAAAAAAAAAAGTCTTTAAGAATAGTTTTAGAAACCTTTCCAGAACCTTCGTTTCCACAGCCAAGACCCTGGTCTCTGCCAGACAGTAAACTCCAGGGCATGGCCCCCAGGTGTCTGTGGTTTCCCGCCATGCCTGGAGGATTTAGCGTAGCACTGGCACGTCAGCACTCAGTACAGTTCCTGGAGGAATAAAGCAAATCTGTCCTACGGGAGGCTGAGCTGGGGGGATAAGGCAGTGTGGAGTCTATCCGGACAGAGCGTGGTGCAAGTGCTGGTGGCCTCATGTCACCTGGGAGCTGGTGAGGGATGCAGAGTCTCAGGGCCACGCTGGGCCCACTGCATCAGCAGCTGCTGGTTAACAGGAACGAGGCCCGCCGCAGAGGAAGCCTCAGCCAAGACGGCGGGCAGCGGGAGGCTGAATCCCAGCTGCACCGTTTACAGCAGCGGGACCTGCCCAGGTGACTTTCCAGAGCTGCAGTTTTGTCGTACGTTCAGTGAGGTTAAGGACACGTATTTCCTGGGGTCCATGTGAGGGGTGCAGGTTCTAAGGGTTTCACCCAGGTACTTGGCCAGTTTCCTAAGGCACCCCATGGCTGCAGAAGGTTCTAGGCCAGGAACACAACAGATGCCCCATGGTGTTTTCTTTTTCCTTCTGTTTTTGAGACGGAGTCTCACACTGTCGCCCAGGCTGGAGTGCAGTGGCGCGATCTCAGCCCACTGCAAGCTCCGCCTCCCGGGTTCATGACATGCTCCTGCCTCAGCCTCTGCTGGGACCCAGGCGCCCGCCACCATGCCCGGCTAATTTTTTGTATTTTTAGTAGAGATGGGGTTTCACCACATTAGCCAGGATGGTCTCGATCTCCTGACCTCATGATCCACCGCCTTGGCCTCCCAAAGTGCTGGGATTACAGGTGTGAGCCACCAAGCCTGGCCATTGTTTTCAATCACTTCCTATGTAGCACGGGTTAACACTTCTGCTAGTTTCAGGACAGGCCATCCAGGGAGCGGCCAGTCGGACCCAGCCCACGTGCAGAATTGGAGGTCATTTGGCGCCCCCTGCTGGCCAATGAGGTTTCTGCATGTCACCGGCTTTTCAATTTCTCGTTTCCGTGGAAGAAGCCCATGAAGTGAGAAAGAGCTAATAATAGTGTCCATACTGGCATCTATGGGTGGCAGTTAGGACATTTTGTTACCATGAAATCCTTGCTTTTCTCCAATACCTCTCCCTCTTTATTATTTACTTGAGGCAGGCCTCACTCTGTTGCCCAGGCTGGAGTGCAGTGGCATGATCACAGCTCACTGCAGCCTTGACCTCCTGGGCTCAAGCCATCCTCCCACCTCAGCCTCCTGAATAGCTAGGGCTACAGGTGAGCACCACCACACCCAGCTAAGTTTTCAATTTTTTGTAGAGACGGGGTCTTGCCATGTTTCCCAGGCTGGTCTTGAACTCCTGGGCTCAGGCAATCCAACCACCTTGGCTTCCCAAAGTGCTGAGATTACAGGTGTGAGCCACTATGCCCGGCCCTCTCTCCTATATTATTTTATTTTGAGACGGGTCTCACTTTGTCACCCAGACTGGGGTGCAGTGGCATGATCTTGGCTCATTGTAACCTTGACCTCCGGGTTCAAGCTATCCTCTTGCCTCAGCCCCCCAGGTAGCTCTGACTACATACAAGTGCTACCACACCCGGCTCTTTCTTTTGTAGAGATGGGGATTTCTTTTGTAGAGATTTCTTTTTTAGAAAGGGGGAGAGGGCAGGTTGCAGTGGCTCACACCTGTAATCCTAACACTTGGGAAGCTGAGGCAGGGGAGTTGCCTGAGCCCATGAGTTCAAGGCCAGCCTGGGCAACATTGCAAGACCCCTGTCTCTACTAAAAATACAAAAATTAGCCAGGAGTGTTGGCGTGCACCTGCAGTCCCAGTGACTTGGCAGGCTGAGGCAGGAGGATCGCTTGAACCTGGGAGGTGAAGGTTGCAGTGAGCTGAGATCACACCACTGCACTCCAGCCCAGGCAACAGAGCAAGACTCCATCTCTAAAATAAAATAAAATAATAAAAATAAATAAAAAGCAGATTCTTCTCGTATGGGTAGATGAATGAAAGCTGAGGCAGTCATTTATGAAATCATTCATTCACTCGTGCATTCATAGTAATGGGGGTACAACGGTTAACAAAGTTCCTGTCGGATTTGGAAAGGTCATGGCTGATGCTAAAAGTCTGCCATTATCAGCACACAGATGATCTGCCGTGAGTGCACACTAGGAGAAGGAACGGATTCTCTTAGGTAGAGAAGAGGGTCATGGATTGATTCCTGGGGGCCTCCAGCATTCAGAGCATTCAGTGGTTGGTGGGGAGGAACAGCTAGCGAGGGAAGCCGAGGAAAGCAAGTATTTTAAGAGGAAGGAGAGATCCACGTGTCAAACACAACTGCTGAGTCAGGCAGGATAAGCCTGCTGTTTGACTTAATATGAGCACCACAGGAATTATGGGCAACTTTGGCAGGAAGAGCTTCGGTGGGGTGGCGGGGACGGGAACCTACTTGGAGCAGGTTCAAGGGAGAATGAGAGCAGAGGAATTGGAGGTAGTGAATACGGAAGATTCTTTTGAGGAATTCTGCTGTAAAGGGGCCAAATAAATGGGTGACAACTGGAAGAAAATGTGAGGTCATGCCAGGCACGGTGGCTCACACCTGTAATCCCAGCACTCTGGAAGGCCATGGCAGGTGGATCACCTGAGGTCAGGAGTTTGAGACCAGCCTGGCCAACGTGGTGAAACTCCATCTCTACTAAAAATACAAAAATTAGCTGGGCATGGTGGCAGGTGCTGGTAATCCCAGCTACTCAGGAGGCCGAGGCAGAAGAATCGCTTGAACCAGGGAGGTGGAGGCTGCAGTGAGCTGAGATAGTGCCACTGCACTCCAGCCTGGGCAACAGACTGAGACTCAGTCAAAAAAACCAGAACAAAACAAAACAAAAAGTGAGGTCAGGAAAAGGCATGAAAAGAGGAAACATATCTCAGAATGCTTTTCTGCCCTGCCTGTGGGAGCTATCCACTGGGGAGGTGGAGGAGAGGAAGGGCCAATGGCTGTGGTCATGCTCTTGGGTGAGGAGTAGGTCAGGGCCTAGAACCCAGGGACAGCTATCTTCACAAACCAGGCACTCCGGCAGATGTGTCTTGTTTGTGAGTGCTGCATTCTGCAGACCTTTGTTAGCTGATGATTCATAGTGAGAGGGACTGAGCCCAGATCCTGGTCCCCACGGGGCACACTGCTGAGCTGCAGTGCACACTGATGAGTCTGCCAGAATGCAGGCTCCAGAGGGCAGGCATCTCGGTCCATGTGGCTCCCTTGGGACCCAAATACCTAGAATCATGGCTGACACATCCATGGTGCTCAATCAATATCTGCTGGATAAACAAATGCCTTATGTGGACAGAGGCAGGCATGAGAGTGCACCATTATAATCACGAACTTGCCATTTACTATGCCCAATTCCCTGCCTTTTCTTTTCTTTTTTCAGCTTTATTGAGGTATAATTGACAAAATCTGTATATAGCCAGATGTGGTGGTGGGTGCCTGTAATCCCAGCTATTTGGGAGGCTGAGGCAGGAGAATCCCTTGAGCCTAGGAAGTGGAGGTTTCAGTGAGTGGAGATTGTGCCACTGCACTCCAGCCTGGGTGACAGAGTGAGACTCTGTCTCAAAAACAAACAAACAAAACAAAAAACAAAAAACAAAAAACCCCAAAACTTTATGCATTTAAGGTATACAACATGGTATTTTGATATACATATGCATTATGAAATGATTACCACAATCAAGCTAACTAACATGTTCATCATCTTCTTGTGGTAAGAACCTTCTGAGCAAATTTCAAGTGTACAATACAGTATCATTAACTATCATCACCATGGTGTACATTAGATCTAGATCGTATTCATCCTGCCTCACTGAAACGCTGTATCCTGTGACCGTCTCCCTATTTCCCTCACTCTCTCAGCCCCGGTAACCACCGCTCTACTCTCTGTTTCTATAAGTTTGATTATTTTAGATTCTGCATATACGCGAGGTCACGCAGTATTTGTCTTTCTGTGCTTGGTTCATTTCATTTGGTGTAATATCCTGCAGGTTCATCCGTGTTGTTGCAAACAGCAGGATTTCCTTCAAGACTGGATGGTATTCCACTGTGTATAAACCACATTTTCTTCATTCATTCATCCATTCACAGACATTTAGGCTATTTCCACATCTTGGCTACTGTGAGTGATGCTGAAATTAACATGGGCCTGCAGATAGCTCTTCAAGAGCCTCATTTCAATTCCTTTGGATAAATACCCAGTAGTGGGATTGCTGGATCATTGGAGTTCTATTTTTAATTTTCTGCAGAACCTCCATACCATTATCCATAATGACTGTACTGATTTACACTCCCACCAACAGTTGTGCAAAGGTTCCCTTTTCCCCATACCCTCACCACCACTTATAGCTAGACTTTTTGATAACAGCCATCCTTGCAGGTGTGATGGGATATCTCACTGTGGTTTTGGTTTGCATTTCCCTGAGGCTGAGCGATGTTCAACACCTTCCCAGATACCTGTTGACCATTTATATATCTTCTTCTTCTTTTTTTCTTTTTTGAAATGGAGTCTTGCTCCGTCACTCAGGCTAGAGTGCAGTGGCATGAAATTGGCTCACTGCAACCTCCACCTCCTGGGTTCAAGCGATTCTCTTGCCTCAGCCAGGTGCCTGCCGCCACGGCCGGCAAGTTTCTGTATTTTTAGTAGAGACGGGGTTTCACCATGTTGGCCAGGCTGGTCTCCAACTACTGGCCTCAAGTCATCTGCCCACCTTGAACTCTCAAAGTGCTGGGATTACAGGCGTGAGCCACCGTGCCCAGCCTATGTATCTTCTTTTGAGAAATGTTCATTCGGGTCCTTTGCCCCATTTTCTTTCCCTTTAGGTGGATGAGTTCCTTCCATATTTTGGCTATTAACCCCTGGTCATATGTATGGTTTGCAAATATTTTCTCCCATTCCAGAGGTTCTCCCTCCTTCTGGAAGCATGTTCTTCCCATGAGCTCTGAGACATCACTCCGTTTTTGGTTTCAGGGCTCAATCTGTAGACTTCTCTTGTTCTCTATCTTTCCTTGTCTAATCTCTGGCTTTCAGTACCATCTACATGCTGAGGACTCCATAATTCACATCTCTGGTTTGATCCTTCTCTCTTGAACTCCAGACATACATCTCTGACTCTGTTCTGTCTTCCCTTGAATGTCCAACAGACGTCTCAAACCAAACACATCTGGAACCAGACTCCAGATCTCCCCAGCCTCCTCCTTCACCAGCTTTGTCTTTTCCTGCTCCATCATCCTACGGACCCTGGGGCTGTCCTTGTTGCCTCCCTTTTATCCCACTCCATGTTCAATTTGTCAGTAAATTTTTTTTTTGTTTGTTTGTTTTGGAGACGGAGTCTTGCTCTGTTGCCCAAGGTGGAATACAGTGGCGTGATCTTGGTGCACTGCAGCCTCTGCCTTCTGGGTTCAAGTGATTCTCTTGCCTCAGCCTCCTCAGTAGCTGGAATTACAGGCATGTGCTACCATACCCAGGTAATTTTTGCATTTTTAGTAGAGATGGGGTTTGGTCATGTTGGCCAGGCGGGGTGTGAGCCACCACGCCCAGCCTGATTTGTTAGCAAATTCTACCAGCTCTGATGTTAGGACTAACCGAGTGCTGCCACTTCTCACCCTGCTCTCGCCTGATCTGAGCCCCCTTCATGGCCCACCTGGATGGTTCAGATGCCTCCCCATGGCTTCTGGCTTTCCCCATTTCAGACTATGCTCAGCGCAGCAGCCAGCGGGACCCTCTACAGGTCCCAGTCCTCCACTCAGAGGACCTCACTCAGAGGGGAAGCCAAAGCCCCAAAGGGCGCCAGGTGCTCCAGCCCCGGCTTTCCCGTGTCCCATCGTGCTCCCTGGAACTCGCTCTGGGGACACACCAGGCTCTCTGTACACCCCAAGTACCTGACTACCCTGAGACCTTTGCTCTTCTTTCCTCTCTTTCTGGATCTATGTGATTTGGGCCCTGTTCTCCTTCAGGTTTTTGCTCAAATATCACCTTCTCATTAAGTCCTTTCCTAACAACCCTTTTGTTTTTTTAGACAGAGTCTTAATCTAGGCTGGAGTGCAATGGTGCAATGATGGCTCACTGCACCCTCACTCGGCTGGGCTCAGGCACTCCTCCCTCCTCCCTCCCCGTTGGCTGGGACTACAGGCAGGCGCCACCACACCCGGCTAATTCTGTTGTTGTTGTCTGTTTCCTTTTCATAGAGACAGGCTTTTACCATGTTGCCCAGGCTGGTCTTGGACTCCTAGAGTCAAGCAATCCACCCACCTCAGACTTCCAAAGTGCCAGGATTACAGTTGTGAGCCACTGAGCCCAGTCCTTAACAACCCATTTAAAATTTCAAACCCTGGCTGGGCACAGTGGCTCATGCCTGTAATCCCAGCAATTTGGGAGGCCAAGGGCAGATCACCTGAGGTCAGGAGTTTGAGACCAGCCTGGCCAACATGGCGAAACCCTGTCTCTACTAAAAATACAAAAATTAGCTGGGCATGGTGGCGGGCGCCTGTAATCCCAGTTACTCAGGAAGCTGAGGTGGGAGAATCGCTTGAACCTGGGAGGCAGAGGTTGCAGCGAGCCAAGATCGCACCACTGCACTTCAGCCTGGGCAACAGAGCAAGACTCCATCTCAGGAAAAAAAAAGAAAGAAATAAAATAAAGTAAAATAAAATAAAACAAAACAAAATTTCAGGCCCGGTGCGGTGGCTCACTCCTGTAATCCCAGCACTTTGGGAGGCCGAGGTGGGCGGATCACGAAGGCAAGAGATCGAGACCATCCTGGTCAACAAGGTGAAACCCTGTCTCTACTAAAAATACAAAAATTAGCTGGGCATGGTGGCAGGCACCTGTAATCCCAGCTACTCGGGAGACTGAGGCAGGAGAATCACTTGAACCTGGTAGGTGGAGATTGCAGTGAGCTGAGATTGCGCCACTGTACTCCAGCCTGGGGACAGAGCAAGACTCCGTCCAAAAAAAAAAAAAAGAGAAAAAAAATTCAAACCTCCGCATGGATCTGGCTCTCCCCTAACCTGCTTCATTTACCACCACCTGGCGGTATTATTTCCTTTGTCCATTGTAGGTCTTCTCTCTCTAACATCTAAGCTCACATTGTCCCTGCTCACTGCGTTATTCCCAGCTCTGAGAACAATGCTGGGCACACAGTAACTGCTCAATAAACACAAATCATTGACCAACTGAGACTGGAGCTCTCAGAACGTGCATGAATGTGCCTGCCACGCACCAGTTGTGTGCAGTCTGACTGGAGTGCAGTATCAGCTTCGCTGTGCTTGTTGGTTGATGAAGTTAATGCATCACTGATGTTCATGAATGTTGATGTCAGTACGTTGATTATCACATGTCCAGGAGGTAGCATTTTCTCCATTCATGTCCACAGTTGCCGCTCAGGTACAGGTCACATTTTCTGGAGCACGTAGACCTCTGCTGTATTATCTATGGTGCTGTGCACCCACACATTTTCCTGGGTCTGTATATTAACTTCCAAGCCTCGACAGTCTGGTGGCTACCAAACTGCTGTTGGCGCTGCCTTGGCCCCTTTCTTTTCCCATGGGAGGCATATGCTAGGGGGGCAATGTTTAGTTTTCCCAGCTGGTGCTCCTGGGCAATGCTATGAGGGGTGTCATCCTTCTTTAGGGCTTCCTTGGCAACATGCCTTTCCTCCTTTCTTCCTCCTCCTTCACCCCAGATGGAATGAGACTCCTATGCTGGATTTTGTCCTAAATCGGGACTACCTGTATTAATGAGCTGTGTGACCTGGGTAAGCTCTTCCCCTTTGCTGACACTCCTCCCACCTGTGGGATGAGGTGCCTTGCATCTCTCCTACTGCCCACGTAGGCCATGGCACTAGGGCTCTTCTCTGGAGTAACAACCAGCTGCCAAGAATGAGAGTTGACTGGACACTGGTGCAGGAGGCAGACACAGCTAAGGGCTATGTGTTCTAGCTGTTCTAACCAGGCAGACACATTCCTTCTTATTTCTAGAGACGGAGTTTCACTCTTGTTGCCCAGGCTGGTGTGCAGTGGCATGGTCTTGGCTCACTGCAACCTCTGCCTCCTGGGTTCAAGCGATTCTCCTGCCTCAGCCACCCAAATAGCTGGGATTACAGGCACCCGCCACCTTGCCCAGCTAATTTTTGTATCTTTAGTAGAGACGGGGTTTCACCATGTTGGCCAGGCTGCTCTCGAACTCCTGACCTCAGGTGATCTGGCTGCTTCGGCCTCCCAAAGTGCTGGGATTAAAGGTGTGAGCCACCGTGCCCAGCCTAGAAATGATTTTTAAACTGTGATTTCCAAATACTAGGCAGTGATGCTTTCTTTGCTAACTGGCTATCTGATTAATATCAATATTGTAATTACGGGACCAAAAGCCCCTTGGAGGGGTCTTAAGTTATGTATGGGGCTGGGGGTTGGTGGGGAGGGATGTGTGTGCTGCTCAGAGATGGTATGAGCCGAGGGATGGCTAGAGCTTCTTGCACCTAAGCTCAGCCTGCCGTCAGGACGCTGGAGGGGATGGATGTGGTTCAGCTTCAGGTGTACAATATTTCTGCGAATTGGGTCCAGATAGCCAAGGCGGCAGAAGCTGGCTGGATGAATGGAGGGCCTGGGGACCTGCATGCCTCCCACATATGACTTACTCCCCAGCCCCCGACCTGGCCCTTCGTCCATGTGCCTCTTTGCTCTGCCCGAGGGCACCCTACCTTGTACCCCTGGATGTCTCCATTCTGGCTGTCCAGCGGAGGTGGCTCCCAAGTCACGTCCAGCTGTGTGGCCGTGGCGCCGTGGACGACCACGTTACGAGGTGCTGCTGTGGGCACTGGAGGGCGTGCAGGGTAGGCAGTGAGCACGCGAGTAAACCTGGGAGGGGAGGAGGGCTGGGCGGGATGGGGAGCCCAGATTCCATCTCTTCCAGCTGAACTGGGTGGGGCTGGGAAAGGCATGCTGGGGCCAGACAGGGTGTTCGCTGCTCACCTGCCTCCCCGACAAAGACTTCCTGCGGGGTGCTGGAGGGCCCCTCGCCCACAGCGTTGTACACGCTCATCCGTATCTCGTACCGCCTGTGCTTGTTCAGGTCTATGGGGGAGAGTGGGGGAGGGGAAGCACACTGAGGTCACTGTCCCTGCTGGGAAGGTGCCCCCCAGGGAGGGTGGAGGCTGCCGGGGGAGGAATGAGGCACCCCCACCATTCTAGTCCCCTCTGTGAAGGTGCAGGAAGAAGGAGGTGAGAGGCGGGGCCCCCAGGGGATGCTCCGTGCCAATCTGGACATAGGGCCATGCTGGTTGGCCTCCTGGCCTAGGGTGATGGTACATTTTATTTTTCAACTGGACACTTTTGAGACTGAAAAGCACTATGAATATTTACACTGGGACAACCAGTGTAAACCAAAGCTGTCCTGGGCATGCCTGGCCATAGCTTCTCCCGCTACCCGCAGCGTGTCCTCTTTCCCCACCGTGACAAATGCCCAGAGTCCCCATCCACCAACTCTTTGCACAGTGGGGCTTAGCTCCAGGGGGGAGGGGCACATTGGATGCGAATTCTGGAGTAAGAAATCTGATGTTTCTGCCAAGTTTGAGGTGCTTGGCTGAGAATGCCTGGCAGAACTTGGGAATGGGATGCAGCTGCGAGAAACGGACGCAGTCACTGTCTCCCGTGGCTGAAAGTTTCTCCCACCCTCTCCACTCTTCTCTCTGGGTTCCCTGCCCCTGCTCCCTTCGCCTGAGTGGAGTCTACCCTTCAACAGGGCTGTGAGAGGGGTGTCACCCTTGCCTAGCTGTTTATGTAGCCTGTGTTGGCCACTGGTTGACGGAGGAAGGAGGAAGGGAATTTAGCCTTAAATTAGTGCTATTTTCTCCTGAGCATGAAACCCTCTTGCCTGAGACCATGGCTGGGGCTTGAGAGAAAGATCAAGGGCTGGGGCGTGCGAGCAGAAGGAACATGCCTAGTGCATGGGAGGATGACGGACGCAGGTGACTAAAACTGCTGTCACCTCCCTCCGGGTGCGGGGCCAGACTGTAAGACCCAGTTGGGCCGAGAAGTGCCTTCAATGCGACTAGATGGGGCAGCAGCCACGTGGACACCTGCCCACCTACCCAGCAGCATCCAACAGCTCCTGCTGCGGCCCTGGTGTCACTGCCCCTCGACCCAGCAGAGCATGGGGTTACACACTTCCCTTTTCCAGCCCACACCGGACAGAGGGCAGGCTTGAAGGAGACTTTCCCTGGCATCGGCCTACTTTTCCACGTGTTTAGGGTTATCACTTGTGTTCAGGGTAGTCCCGTTCCTTAAGCCCCCTGGGGTGGGCACACTTCCTCAGCTGTGATCAGGTCTCTCGAGGCCCCACTCCCAGTCCCCGTGGGAGGCCTGGGCCCGCAATGAAGCCACCATGCAAGGAGACTTACTGTCCAGCTCGTACTGGGTGAGGCTGGGCCGGCTCAGGTTCCGCATGGAGTACATGGCTATGGGGTGGGGGTGCCGGGGCGGGGCGCAGAGGGAGACAGCAGACAGAGGAGGTTAGTGCCCACACATCCCCACCCACAAAGAAACCCCGGCCAGGCGGGGCTGACGGTGTGAACAGATAGAAAGAGTGTTTCCAGATTTCCAGTGCTGAGTTAGGGACCAGGATAACAGTGCAGGGGTGGCAGGGGAAGGTGGAGGCTCCCTGGACAGTCTGCCTCCACCCTCCACCCTGGTGTGCCCTGGCCCAAGGTGACATGAGCCCCTTGTAGCCCAGCATCTCTAGGGACATCTCTGGGGGACCCTCTTAGCCCCAACTGTCTTCCTTGTTTCAGGGCAGAGTTCCTGGAAACCAGCATGAAATACTGGAGTCGTTAATTTCCTCATATGAACCACAAACAATTTTATTACTAGGAAATATGACTGTATTATACACAGGCAATATAAAATCACAACCACAAGCACATATGGGCAAAAAAAAAAAGAAAAGAGAAAAGAAAAAATGTCCACCAAAAAGGCATGCTGTCAGATCAGCTACTTCAGTTTTTGTATTAATATTTCTTTGCTACATGCTCAATCATTTTGTTGTCTGCTAACTCACTAGAAGACAGGCACAAAAGGCTTGGGAGAACCAAGGGAGGAAATGTGAAAATGAAGAGGCTGAGCTGGGCACAGTGGCTCATGCCTGTAATCTCAGCACTTTGGGAAGCCACGGTGGGTGGATCACCTGAGGTCAGGAGTTCGAGACTGGCCTGGCCAACATGGTGAAACCTGGTCTCTAATAAAAATATAAAAATTAGCCAGGCATAGTGGTGCATGCCTGTAGTTCCAGCTACTTGGGAGGCTGGGGGAGGAGAATCGCTTGAACCTGGGAGGCAGAGGTTGCAGTGAGTCGAGATCATGCCACTGTACTCTAGCCTAGGCGACAGAGCAATACTCTTGTCTCAAAAAAAAAAAAAAAATGCCGGGCACAGTGACTCACGCCTGTAATCCCAGCACTTCGGAAGGTCAAGGCAGGTGGATCACCTGAAGTCAGGAGTTCGAGACCAGCCTGGCTAACATGGTGAAACCCTGTTTCTACTAAAACTACAAAAAATCAGCTGGGCGTGATAGTGTGTGCCTTTAATCCTAGCTACTCAGGAGGCCTAAGGCAGGAGAATCGCTTGAACCCGGGAGGTGGAGGTTACAGTGAGCTGAGATTGTGCCATCGCACTCCAACTTAGGCAACAAGAGTGAAACTCTGTCTCAAAAAAAAAAAAAAAAAGAAGAGGCTCTTAAACTGCCCCCTTCTCCTGCTAGTCTGTTGGGGTGAGTGTCCCACACCCACCTGAGTACCCAGTCCTCTGGGGTACCCCTGCCTGCTGCTCTCTTCTATGCATCAGTCATGGAGTCCCAGGTAGGTGGATAGAAGATATTTAGAGAAGGAGGCTCTTTATAAAAATCTCTAGTGGTCTGAGTCCAAATGTTAGGTGAACACAAGCACTTCAGACCCAAACAAGCCAAAGGTGTAGATGAACATCAGCTTTGAGCCACTGGGAAAACCTCAGTTTTTTCTTTCATTATGTACCAAGGTGTTCTAATTATTGTTGCTATCTGCTGTGCTGTAAAATATTTTATTGGTTGCACCACTTTGCAGCATTTTGTCTAAAGCTCTTAACTGTCATAAATGCACCTAACTGTCTGCCAATGTGGAATACTAAATAATTATTATGTGAGTGACTGATTTACTTTGAAAAACCAAAAACAGGCCAGGCACGGTGGCTCGCACCTATAATCCCAGCACTTTGGGAGGCCAAAGCGGGCAGGTCACTTAAGGTCAGGAGTTCAAGACCAGCCTGGCCAACATGGTGAAACCCTATCTCTACTAAAAAATAAAAATAAAAATAAAAAATTAGCTGGGCGTAGTGGCGCACGCCTGTAGTCCCAGCTACTTGGGAGGCTGAGGCACAAGAATCACTCGAACCCAGGAAGTGGAGGTTGCAGTGAGCTGAGATTGCACCACTACACTCCAGCCTGGGCAACAGAGCAAGACACCGTCTAAAAAAAACCCACCAAAAAAAAAAAAACCCCCCAAACCTGGCGTCCTGGAGCATCTGCACCCATCATGTATCATCTCCCAGACTGGCCTCGGTCCACCTGGAGCCTGAGCCTCGGATCCAACCTCGTGCTCTCTTGCTATGTGACTGCAACAGCCTCCAGCTAGGTGCTTGTCTCTGGCTCCCCATCCTCCCACCATGGCTAAGCCATCATCCTCATGCCACCAAAGTGGCTCCTAACACAAAAGTCCAAACACATCTTTCCCTTGCTGTGATCTGGGCATCAGCCCTCCCTGACATTTCCACCTGAACTCCCTGCTTTCTTTCCTTCACTCCAAGGGGCAGGCTGGGTCCCCAGGACAGGCAGGGCAGTGACTTCCCCCAGGAAAAAAAGGGGGCCAGGACTACTGCTTTTGGGGTGTGACCAGGTGAGGCTTCTGGTCCCTCAAGGGCAGGGTGCTCCTTCTCATGCACCAGGCTGTCCCCGTCTCTTTGTCCTGGTTAACTTGGCATCATCCTTCTGTGTTAGCACCAGTGCTGGTGTCAGGGAAGCCTTGCCTGGCCCTGGCTTTAGGCCCTCTTAGAATGTTTCCTTCCCAGCTCGCCTGGCTCCTCCTCCAGCCTGCAACTCCAAGAGGGCGGGGACCTTGCCTGTCTGGATCATCGGTGTGCCCCACAGTGTCTCAGGGCCCATAGAAGGTGCTCAGTAAATATTCAGTAAATGAATGAATGGGATGGGAGGAAGGAGAGGCACAGACAGGGGAGGGAGGCAGGGTTTCAGGTTAGAGTGGTTCCACGAAGCTGAGAGCTCCAGATCGGGAAGGTGAGGGTGACCACCCCGTCCCACCCATTCCCCCGGCTCCCAAGTGTCACTCACAGGTAAGCTCGGCCCATGTGGCGCCTGGGTTGTTGATGCCTCGAAGCGTGAAGCCCCTCAGTCCTTCATAGAGCAGCTCCCGGTATCGGATCCGGAAGCCCAGGAGGATGCCATTGATCTTGTCCTCTGCTGGCGGCTGCAGGGAAGGGAATAGAGGATGAGGAGGGGACCTGGACCACCGCCCACCCCGCCCCACGCTCTCTCATCATGCCTCCTGCAGCCACAGAGCAGGGGCTGTGTTTTAACGAGGAAAATAAATCAAGATTATTGAGCATTTTAAATTTACAAAGCACTTCTGATGAGGCCATTTCATCCCTGCAGCATTCCCTGGAAGGAAGGAAGGGCAGGAATCCGTAATCGCCTTTTACCGAAGCAGGAAACTAAGGCTCAGAGATGTAAAGGAACTTCCCAAGATCACACAGCATCATTGGGGCCTGGAGCACACAGCTGTTTTCCTAGAGCCGCTCCTTCTGCAGTTCCTTTGTCTTCAAGGGCTGCCTTCACCCGATCACCAGCCTTCCCAGGCCTGCTGGTCCCTGCCTGGATAATACTTCCTGGTGTTTCCTACAAGCTGAGCCCTCTCCTGCTCTTAGTATAAGTAAGGGTGAGTGCACCCCTCACCCCTTCATCAAGTTCTCCTTTGCTTCCTCTCCTGTCTACAGCTTAGCTGGAGAACAGGCTTCGGGAGAAGGTGGAAACTACTTCTTAATGATACTGCTTATAAAGAACGGGCTGACCAGCCTGGCCAACATGGTGAAACCCCGTCTCTACTAAAAATATAAAAATTAGCTGGGGGTGGTGGCACATGCCTGTAGTCCTGCTTGGAAGGCTGAGGAAAAAGAATGGCGTGAAGCTGGGAGGCGGAGCTTGCAGTGAGGCGAGATCGGGCCACTGTACTCCAGCCTGGGCAACAGAGCAAGACTCTGCCTCAAAACAAAACAAAAACCCCCAAAAACCAAAAACCTGCTGAAACAACTCAGCCTTTGTTAGCTCCTTAATGGCTTCTCCGGCTGCCACGGGCACCTCCCTGCCCCCTCCGCCATGTTGCTCCAGCCTCGTCCTGGTCACAGATGCACTAAGTCATGTTCATCTAAGGGAGCGTCCTCTCCTTCAGGCTGTGTCTCAGGCTGTGGGGCGGCGGGGGGGCCCTCCTGGCTTTGTCTTCAAGGGCTTTCCCTTTGTGGGGCGGCAGATGGCTGAAGGGGAGTGCCTGCCCCTTTGATCTGGAGAAGTGGTGACAGGAGTTCAGTGCTTTGAACTTTTAGTAGAGATGGGATTTTGCCAGGGGTCCCTCTCATGTGGGTGACCTGCTGAGCCAAGGCAGACCTCAGAGGGCACAGGAGGGCCCCGCGGGGCAGGACCCCTGAGCAGCCTGGTTGCTGAGGTTGGCCTGGTCTTCCCCAGGCCATGGCAGAGCAGGCAGTGCCAGTGAAGAGTGGGCATCTGGAAGGGGTATGGACGAAGGGGGGCATTTCCTCTCTTCTTGCACAGTGATGGTGATGGGCATAGGTCTCTATGAGGAATCCCTTCACTGACCAGTGGGGCTTCATGGAGACTCTGGGGGCCCTGACAGCACCAAGCACTTTCCAGTCCGAGGACTCAGCAGGCCTGAGGCTAATACACCTGGCCCTGCCACTCACGGGCTGTGTGACCTGGGGCCATTCGGGTCTCCTCCCTGAGTCTCAGTGGTTGTCTGCAGAAGGGGATGGCAGCACCTGCCTGATGTGACTATGTGGAGAGTGTAATGAGGTGTGTTGTGTGAGTGTGTATGTGTGGGCACGCGGTATATAGACTGTTCTATTGCATGCACACGCCTGGATTTCTCATGGCTTCCCAGGTGCTCTGGGGGCAGAGAACCTGGGGGCTCCATGCAGCCCTGGTGGGGACTGCTGGCTTTCCAGTCCCAGAGCAGAGCTCGTCTGGGTCTTCATGGAGCTTCCTGCCTGCTGGGCCGTACCTGCCATCGGATTAGCACGGAGGTGGTGGTGTGGGGCGTCACTGAGAGGATGGTGGGTGCTTCATCGGGGGCTGTGGAGAGAAGCAGACAGGTGGGTTCTGGGGGCCACAGCTTCAAGCCCCCCAGGAACCCACTGGGGCCAGATTCTGCTAATACTGGACTAGAGGCAGGTCCAGCTTACATCACCCTCCATGCCAGCTGGCCTGACTGCTGCAGAACAAGGGGTTGGTGTAAAGGGGAGGGAGGCAGGGGCTGTGAACCGACCCGGCCCAAACCCAAGGGTCCCAGAGCCCCCTCCACTCTGCCCCTCGGAGCCACAGGCCGCTTCTGCTGCTTCTGGGAACTCCCGTCCCGCTCACTGGCCGCTTGTGGGACACGAGGAAGGAATGCGCCACAGGCCAGGCTGGGCCTGGGAGCCTGAGCCCTTGGCAACGGTGTCTCTGGTCCAAGCCTCCCTGAGACCCTACCCTGGGAGCGGAAGGGCCCAGTGGATCCCACGCCCCTCTCATCTTTGGAGGCCACCTCCCCTCAGAAGAGAATGCCCCGTGCCCGGGAGGTAGCCAGTGGGCTGACAGAGAGACTGCTGGGGAAGGGGTACTGACCGGCCTGCAGGGTGGTCAGCGACTCCGACTCCTCGCTGAACTCGCTGTCGCCAATGTCATTGGTCGCCTTCACTCGGAACTTGTAGGATGTGAAGGGCTTCAGCCTGTAGGGGGAAATCAGAGCCAATAAGCCAAGGTGCTCCTTAAAGGCCTCGACCCCAGGCCCTCAACAGGGAGTCTCTGTGATCCGCCCCTGCTCGGGAAAGGGGGTGGGGTGCCGGCCCACTACACAGAGGGCACACTGAAGCTCAGAAAGGAGCTTTGCTACAAAGAGGACAAACTGGGACCTGGCCCCAGGAGTCCCAAACACCTAGAGCAGGTCCTCCAGACCATGCCAGCTTGGGGTGCCTTTAGCCCCAGTTGTAAGCCATAGGTTCCCGGGAAGAAAATGCCTGCAGCTTCTCCACCTTGGAGAACCACGCGGCCACAAAAGCATCAATACCTCCACTCGGAACAAACTCCTCCGCTGCCCCACAAACTGCCATCTCTTTCTTTTTTTTTTTTGTTTGAGATGGAGTCTTTTTTGTTGTTGTTGTTGTTGAGACAGTCTCACTCTGTCGCCCAGGCTGGAGTGCAGTGGTGCGATCTTGGCTCACTGCAACCTCCGCCTCCCGGGTTCGAGCGATTCTTGTGCCTCAGCCTCCCGAGCAGCTGGGATAACAGGCACGTGCCACCACACCCAGCTAAGTTTTCTATTTTGGTAGAGACAGGGTTTCACCATGTTGGCCAGGCTGGTTTCAAACTCCTGACCTCAAGTAATCCTCCCGCCTCAGCCTCCTGAAGTGCTGGGATTCCAGGCATGAGCCACCGTGCCCAGCCTGTCTTTCAAATGTAGTAAATTAGGGAAGAGCTGAGGTTCTCAAGAGTTAAGCAGTACTTCATCTCTATAAGCCTTACTTCCTCTCGGAGTAAATGTCTCTCTTTTAGATTTATAGGGGGTGGGAGAGGTGGGGAAGAAAGTATTGCTCAAAACTCCCAGTCACATCAACTGGAATATAAAAAATACAACCCACTCAGAATTAAATTGAAGCTAGAATTTCGGAGTGACACTCCACTCCCCTATTAAAGCTGGAGAGGAAGATGCCACCCGGCTGGAAGAATCACTAATGAAGGATGACAGGCACTTCGCTAAAGGGGGACTTCTAGGCTTCAGAAATAGATAATTAAGAGGCAACCTAACAGGGTTCTGGAGAGAACAGAGTGAAAGAGAGCAGGATAGAGCTAATTTGGGAGGGTGAGAGTGGACACGGAGGCCACCTGGGTGGCGCATGCCAGGAGGAGAGCTGGGGCAGGCTGGAGGTGTTTCCAGAAGGCCCCCTACCCAGTGGAGGAGCGCCGCTGGTCCTGGCGGGGAGAGGGGAGGCGGGGATGCTGGCATGGACCCGGGCCTCACCTGTCCACAATGAAGCTGGAGGCGTTGTGGCTCACGGAGGCCGAGTGCAGTGTCCACCTGCCGCTGGGCAGCTCGCGGGTCTGGATGGTGTAGTAGCGCACAGGGGAGAGCCCGTCGCTCCCCGGCTCCCAGGACAGCAGCACGCTGCGTGCTCTCACATCCTCCTGCTGCACCACGGGCCTGCTGGGGGGCTGCGGGCGGTCTGGAGGTGGCAGAGGGGGGGGAGCAGGTGAGTGGGCCAGGCCGTAGTGGAGGGGGCTGGACTTTCTCCAGGGAGGAAAGGAGGTGATCTGGGCTCAGGCCCGGCGTCCCTTTCCCAGCCCAATTCTGTGCACGCAGGATCCTTGCAAGTTCTCACACCTGGGTACAGCCAGCACCTCTCTCCGTGTCAGAGGCCCACCCTCAGACTCCCAGAGCCCTAGGATCTGGGAACTTACAGCTCCTCAGCGCAGCCCTAAGCAAGGACTGACGGTGAGGAGGGACAAACACCCACCCAGCTCCTTTGCTCCTGCCTGAAACGAGGCCGAGCCTGGCCCTGCGCTGTCCCCGATTGAGCAGGATGAGGCCGTTTCCCTACGAGGGACGAGGGACGCTGCTTCATTCCAGGCCCGAGCTTGGCTTCCTTCTCTCCCCAGCCTCACTGCCCCGCCCCTCCTGCAGGGCTTCTCAAACCTCAGCAGAACTGGAATTCGGAACAGATGCCTCCGTGGTGGGGGCTTCCTGTGCACTGCAGGATGCTCAGCAGTGTCCCTGGCCTCCACCTGCTTGATGCCAGTAGCACTCCCACACCGTGACAACCAAAATATCTCCAGACATGTCCAGTGTTCCCTGGGGCCAAAGTAGTCCCCAGTTGAGAAGCACTATACAAATTGATTTTCCTGAGTACATTTTCTTCTTCCTTCCCTCCCTTCCTTCCCTCCCTGCTTCCTTCCTTTCTTCCCTCTCTCTCTCTTTTCTTCCTTTCCTTTCCTCTTTCTCCCTCTCTCTTTTCTCCCTCCCTCCCTTCCTTCTCCCTCCCTCCCTTCTTCCCTCCCTTCTTTCTCCCTTCCTTCCTTCTTTCCGCCTCCCCTCCCCTCCCCTTCCCTGCCCTCTCCTCCCCTTCCCTTTCCTCCCTTCCCTTCCCATCTTTCTCCCTTCCCTTCCCTTCCCCTTCTCCTCCCCCTTCCCCTTTCCCTCCTTCCTTTTTCTTTCTTTATTTAAAACACAGACAGGGTCTGTATCTGTTGCCCAGGCTGGAGTGCATTGGCACGATCATAGCTCACTGCAGCCTCAAACTCCTTGATCCAAGCAATCCTTCTACCTCGGCCTCTTGAATGGCTGGGACTACAGATGTACACCACCACACCTGGCTAATATTTCTTTTTTTTTGAGATGGAGTCTCACTCTGTAGCCCAGGCTGGAGTGCAGTGGTATGATCTTGGCTCACTACAACCTCCGCCTCCCAGGTTCAAGTGATTCTCTTGCCTCAGCCTCCCAAGTAGCTGGGGTTACCGATGTGCGCCACCACGCCCAGCTAATTTTTGTATTTTTAGTAGGGACGAGGTTTCACCATGTTGGCCAGGCTGGTCTTGAACTCCTGACCTCAGATGATCCACCTGCCTCGGCCTCCCAAAGTGCTGGGATTACAGGTGTGAGCCACCATGCCTGGCCTATGGTTAATATTTCTATGTTCTGTAGAGATGGGGTCTCACTATGTGGTCCAGGTTGAGATGATTTTCTAATGTCCCTTTCAGGCCAGTCAAGTCCAAGGTTTGCTTTTGGGGAGCCCAAGGTCAGGCAAGGTGCCAGCTCAGGGCAGCAGTGCAGCGGCAGCTGGAGCTCCAGGCTGCAGCACTGATCCCGCGCCCATCTGTCGTGACAAGGCCAGGGCTGTGAGCGGGGAGGGGAGGGGGAAGATGGTCACTAACCCTCCCTTAACTAATTAATTAATTAAATTAGACAGAGTCTTGTTCTGTCACCCAGGCTGGAATGCAGTGGTGCGATCTTGGCTCACGGCAATCTCCGTCTCCTGGGTTCAAGTGATTCTCATGTCTCAGCTTCCTGAGTAGCTGGGATTACAGTTGTGTGCCACCACGCCTGGCTAATTTTTGTATTTTTAGTAGAGACGAGGTTTCGCCATGTCAGCCAGGCAGGTCTCAAACTCCTGACCTCAAGTGATCCACCTGCCTTGGCCTCCCCAAGTGCTGGGATTACAGGCATGAGCCACTGAGCCTGGCCACACACTTTCCCTTTAGGAAACCAGACCAGAGCAGGGTCCTTGGGAGTGAACTTGCAGCCCATCTCTGGGAGTCTACTAGACCCCTCGCTGACTTTGACTTCAGAGATTGGGGCCCACCTTCCATTCTCACCCAGGGCACTGCTGCTCATACCAGCCATCCACTAGGAGCAGCTCAGAGCACTGGCTGGCACCCCTCAGCTGCCCCCCAGGCCTCCCCTGGTCCCTGTGGGCAGTCACCTCTCTTCTCGGTGGTCACCACCAAGGCCTCGGCAGCATCTCCCCAGCCCTTGCGGGTCTGGGCCGTGATGCGGAACAGGTAGACAGACTCTGGCTTGAGACCCGTAGCTGTGTACTGCCGGGCGCTGGGTGCCAGCACCTCCACGGTGGCGGTGTTGGCCGTGGTGGTGTTGAGCCGGTGTGTGATCTGGTAAGCTGTGGGAAGGAAGCACATGGCTATTATGGTAAGCAAGGCAAGCTGCCCCTAGGGCCCCGGGAAGGGTTGTTCCGTCCAAAGCCACAGCTGTGTCTGCTATGGCCACCGTGCTGTGGTCACTTTGGCTGTGGTCTGTCTGCCTGAGGCCTCTGGGTCACTCTCCGGTCTTCAGCTGCCACCTGGGGAGGGTGGACTGTGGGTGGCATGGAGAGGCACTCTATACACAGTGTCTGTGACCCCCATAACAGCCCCAAGTGAAGAAACTGAGGCCCGGGGAGGTCAGATCACCTGCTGGTAAGTGACAGAGCTGGAATCCCAGCCCAGGTCTTTCTGGGCTAACGCATTTGCCCTTCCTGCCTCCACTCTGTCTTGGGGATGTGGCATTGCTCTAGGGCAGGTGGTGCGTGAGGTCGGGACTGAGACCCTGGAATAGGCGCAGGTAGTCCAAGCCCCCATTTTAAAGGCGAGGGGACTCAGGCTGCGGAGGGGAGTAGACTTGCTCAAGTTCACGCAGCTGCCGACCGGAACCCTGCGTGTGTGTGTTGGGGGAGCCCTGGGTGTGTGTATTGGGGGAACCCTGAACGTGAGATGAAGCTTCCCATCTGTAGCCTCCCTCCCCTGCGCCTTGGGACTCTTTTTCCGGCTGTGTTGAGCCGGCCAGCGTGCCCTCACTTGGCCATGCTAAGGAACAGCGTCCGAGGTTTACCAGATGGCCGGCAGGCTGGGGGCCTGGGGACATTTGGGGACGCAAAGCCAACCCATGACTTTTAGGGGACTTGGACTCTGATCTTGCCCTCCAGAAGATAATCTGACACCCTGGAACTTCTAACAGGACTAACACTAAGATCGCATTCGAGAGGGGATGTGGAGGCTCCCTGGACCTACTCTCCCTCTAGCCAGTAACGAAGTGGCCTCCTCTACAGCTCATACCTCCTCCTCCTTCCTGCAGCCGGGGCATGGGAAGGGCAAAGGCTTACCAAGAATGATGCCATTGGGGGCAGCAGGGGGCTGCCAGATCAGCCGCACCGACGTGGTCCGCACCTCTGGGAACAGGATGCCCATGGGTGGTCCTGGGACTGGAGGGGCAAAGGAGAAGAGGCCAACCGGTGAGGCTGCTGCTCAGCTGGGGATGAGCCCAGCTTGGGGAGAGCAGCCTGGCGGGGTGGAGGGGGAAGGGGCCGCCCAGCTCAGTGAATTTCTGTGGAGTGCTGCCCTGTGCCTGACACTGTGTTAGAAGCCAGGGGCGAGAACATGGAACCAAGGGGGCTTTCTGCCCTCAAAATAGTCGTCATTTGGCAGGGACCTGAAGCTCCAGCCTCCTCTGCTCATTGTATACACGCCCCAGCACCGGGTTACCCTCAGAGCTGGGCGCGTGGGCCCTGGATGGATGTGTCTGTGCTTCAGAAGGTCCTGTTCTGACTTCCTTCCACCTATGGGGTGAAGTGTCCGTGGGGTAATGGGAAATGGACACCCCCAGCCTGCACCACTCCTCTCTCTAGACCTTGCTCTGGAATCCTGGGACCCTGGAATTCCCTGCCTGGAGAGCCTAAGCATGCTTCCAGGGGCTGCATGGACCTGGTCCCCACGTCCACCCCCCTGAGGGTAGGCTATGCACCCCTGCCTCCAGGGAGGGCCAAGGGGTAGCTATTTTGCAGGTGTGGAGATGAAGATTGAATGGAGTGGGTCAAAGGAGAGGGCGAGGAGAGAACGGGGCAGGGGATCGGCGGGGGTAGCTGGGGAGGGGACACGCTTCCTGTGTTGCCGCATTCCAGCACAGAATGACAAGATGTCTTAGATTTCCAAACCTTTTTTTTTTTTTTTGAGACCCAGTCTTGCTCTGTCGCCCAGGCTGGAGCGCGGTGGCGTGATCTCGGCTCACTGCAACCTCTGCCTCCCAGGTTCAAGCGATTCTCCTGCCTCAGCCTCCCTAGTAGCTGGGACTACAGGCATGTGCCACCATAGCTGGCTAATTTTTGTATTTTTGGTAGAGACGGGGTTTTACCATGTTGGCCAGGCTGGTCTCGAACTCCTGACCTCAAGTGGTCTGCCTGCCTCGGCTGCCTAAAGTGCTAGGATTACAGGCGTGAGTCACCACGCCCAGCCTGAGATTTCTAAACTTGAACCTGGCCTTCCAGATCATTATAAGGGTATATCTGTCAAGGCAGGAGGATAGAACATATTTAATTTAACAGTTCATTAGCTTGATGAATAATGTTAGCATATGCAAACATATGGTATTTGGGCTTCCTTCTGCACTCTGGTCTGGCTCCTGCAAATGTCTGTGGGGGGCAGTAGGTGGGGGTGTGTGCGGGGAGATGGGAGGGGGCAAGGGATGCATCGGTCAGCTTCTGATGGGGAGTTTTGCTACAGGGATGAATGCCTGCAGCCCGCTGGTGACATTCTTTTGCAAACAGGACCAGGAGGTTCATGTGTCCAGGAAAAATGCTTTCATTTTCACAGACCTTTACTCAAAGTGAATCTGCTCTAGTTGAAAAACAAAGCAAAACTGGCTGGGTGCAGTGGCTCATACCTGTAATTCCAGCATGTTGAGAGGCTGAGGCGGGTGGATCGCCTGAGGTCAGGAGTTCAAGACCAGCCTGGCCAACATGGTGAAACCCCAGCTCTACTAAAAATACAATTAGCTGGGCGTGGTGGCCAGCGCCTGTAATCCCAGCTGCTCAGGAGGCTGAGGCAAGAGAATGGTTTGAACCTGGGAGGCAGAGGTTGTAGTGGGCCAAGATCGCACCACTGCACTCCAGCCTGGGTGACAAAGTGATACTCTACCAAAAAAAAAAGTAAATTAAAACTGGGGCAAGTCCCTATTCCGTACACTTGTTTTGCAGAGAGACCAAGAGACTAAATCAGATGTCAAACTACCTCCACATTGTCCTCAGGGATACACAGGCTGTAATTAGCACCCGCTGCAGTGGGGCTGGTGGCTCTGAGTGACCTATCCCTACAGGAGGCCTGAGGCCACGGCTCCCCGTGGGGCAGAGCCTGACCCCAGAAGGGCAAGGCCAGATGGGCAGGAGGAAGGGCGGCTCCTCCCAGCCTCCCCCAAGCTCTCTGGGATTTGGACTCACCATCGTCCAGCGTCCGCTCCAGGATGGGAGGGTGGCTGGGGCTGCCGTCCCCGATGCGTGTGAAGGCCAGCACCTGGACCTCATAGAGCACATATTTGCCCAAGCCGGTGAGCTGGGCACTGCGAGACGAGTTGCCTTCCACCAGCCAGAATCGGGGCTGGGCGTCCGAGTCCTTCTCCTTATATATCACCTGTCAGGGCCCAGCACTGGGTGAGGGCCTCGGGCCTGCGTCTCACCCATCCACACTTTTCATGAGTCTCATTCCCAGGAAGGGGGTGGGTAGACTTGGGCTCTTTGGAGTGACTTGGCCCCCAGGGTCGGGGGTAACTGCAAAGCTAGTGTACCCAGAGGGCTGGGGACACAAAGATGGACTCAGTCATAGAGCAAGAAGGCTCCTGAGAGGGCATGCAGGTGGGAAGACAGCCCTAGACACGGGGCGTGACTTATGCAAGGTCACACAGCTAGCAGCTCTGTGTCACACATCTCCCAACTTCCAGACCAGGGCTGGACCATGTGACTAGGCACAGCTTTAAAAGGGATTCTAAAAGATAATGAAAATCAAAACTGGGTCCATCAGAGTCGAGTGAGGCTGGGGGCATCCAGCATGGCCTCCCAGGAGAGGAGGAGCAGCCCGAGGACCTGGGTTCTCTCTGGGTGCCTCCCCACCCACAAGGGATGACTTGTGGTTGCCATGGTGACCATTGGCTAGGACGCCAGGCGGATCCCCTGTATCTACTCTAGGAGGCAGAGACCCAGAGGGCGATAAGAACATGGCTCCTTGGATGGAGAGGCTGGAGGGGCCAGTGTAGGGACCCCACTTCCTGGGATCCTGGGACTCACCTTATAGCCCAGCACAAGCCCATTGCGATCAGCTTCGGGGACCTCGCTCCAGCGCACCAGCATGCTGCTGGAGGTGGTGGCCAGTGCGGACACGTTGGTGGGGCCAGAAGAGGGGACTGTGGGTGAAAAGGAGTGGAGAGAAGGTACTCAGGACCCAATGTTGACTGTGCAAGGGACATGGACCAGGACAGGGGGCCAAGGGAGGGGCCAGTTCAGTGTTGCCTCTCTATGGAAGAAACGTGGCATACATGGTCCCCAAACTGCAAACGATCCCACCAAGACGGCCTTTGGTTTTGGAATGCTGCAGACGCTGTTTCCAGTTTCCGATGAGCCTCCCCACAGGATTCTCTGCTCAGGTTAGGATTAGATGAGCTTGCATTTCCTGCTAGCACAGCAGAGAGGGTGGGCAGAGGGACCAGGGTGGCCCAGGAGAGCTGTCTGTCATTTAAAGGGTGCCAGGAAAAAGCCACAGAGCAGTGAACCACGTGTGGATGGATGAGGGTTGCCTGAATGCTGGGCTCACATTCTGTGGGTCACCCCTGGGCAGGCCCCCAGGAGCTTCCGGTAGTGATTCTGGAATGTTCTGAGAGCTAACCCTTTCCCCGATCCCTCCACTGTGGTCTTTCAGGCACCACTGGGTTTCAGGGTTAAAGCTGAGGGCAGGGGACTGGGCAGTAAGAATGGTGGAGACTACTTAGCTGTCCTCCAGAGGCAGGGCCACCCCTGTCCCCCTTGGGAATATGGGAATAGCAGGCACAGTTGCAGGGAAGTGGCAGGTAGTGGGAGACGTGGTAACATCATTGTGACGTTGAGCATAAGTAGAGGAAATGAGCTCAGGCTGTTTTTGAACAACAGCTTCAGCCTGGCACGCCCTTGGATGGCCCTGAGGCACAGAGAGCAAGGAGGGGAGAGGCAGCAGGGTGGCTGGGTGTGAGGGGTCGGTACCTGACTCCCGGGTCCTGCCCACCACCGTCTGGCTCCAGGGCCCGCTCCCGATGGCATTGAAGGCCTGGACCTGGACGCGGTACTCCGTCCACTCCTCCAAGTCCTCAATGGTGTACTCCCGCTCCACGCGGTCCTGCACCACGTGGCTCAGCGTCTTGCCGTGCCCATCTGACCGGCTGTACTTGATCTTGTAGCCCACGGACTCAGGGTTCCCATTGTATTCCATCTCCGGGAGAGGCTGCAGTGGGGCAGGGGGAGCAAAGATGCTATGAGCCAGGCCCCCCACTGTGCAGGGAAGAACTGCCCTGGTACCCTCTCCTCCAGGGAGCCTTCAGGGCTATCCATCCCACTGTCACCCAGTCAGTGTCCACATGAGGCTCTCTCACCCGAGTGTGGCTTAGGTTGTGTGACTGTGTTTCTGATGGGCTCTTATCTTCCTGCAGGGAGGATAGAGAAGCGGCATCCTTTACTGTGCATGTGACAGATCTATTACCTTGCCAAGGGAGCCAGGAGCCACAAAGGCCGTCTGTCTGACACGCTGATAGCACCGCCACCTTTCGCTCTGCTGTCTCTGCTGCTTACCTCTGTCACTCAGGCGCCAGCACACACTTAATTGCCTATCACACCTGGTCTCAGCTCATGCCTGCCTTTGGAGGAGTGAGCATGGGCAGAGAGCAGGATGAATGGGGTACCTGCTGGTCAGGAAGTCCTTCTGTCCAGCAAACTTCAGTCTCTCCTGCTGCATTTTCAGCCTCCTTTTTTTCTTTTTCTTTTTCCTTTTCTTTTTTGTTTTTTAAGACAGGGTCTGGCTCTGTCTCTCAGGCTGGAGTGCCATGGTGCCATCTCAGCTCACTGCAACCTCTACCTCCTGGGCTCAAGCGATCCTCTTGCCTCAGCCTCCTGAGTAGCTGGGACTATAGGCATGGGTCACCGTGCCTGCTAAGTTTTGTAGAGACAAGGTTTTGCCATGTTGCCAAGGTTGGTCTCAAACTCCTGAACTCAAGCCATTTGCTCGCCTCGGCCTCCCAAAGTGCTGGGATTACAAGCCACTACACCCAACCAGCCTCCTCCTTCTTGTTTGAGTCTCACAGAAAATAAAAGTCAGGTTTCTTTGTTGGGCCTTAGGACTACGCTGATGAGGCTGTGGTCACCAGCTTAAGGTTGTGTGGATGACTATGGGCAGTGCTGGTGGGAGTGGAGGTGTGCACACAGGGAGGGGAGCCCAGGGCCCGGCCTCCACTCCTCGGAAGGGCACAGAGCTGGGGTGGGGGCATCTCCAGCCCTCACCTCCCCCAATTCTGCTTCCCCAGGGGCTCTGGAGGGCCCTTGGTCCACAAGCTCACCCCAGGCTGACCCACTTTACCCTACTCCTCACCTTCGGCCCCAACCTCCCCTGCTTACTACACGCTTCCTCCCTCCTGCAGACACTTAGTGAAGCCAACCAAAGAGCATTAAGATAGGAATCGATGGGTTTGAGAGCCGGAGATGGGGCTTACGTGCACATTCCTTTACCTGCTGAGGAAAGGTAATGGACCACGCACCATTACGCACGGGCCTGAGAGGTGTCTAGGGCCCTGTGCCACGTGGCAACTGCTTTTCTATTCCCCCATGCAGTCCCTGCCCTCAGCATCACACTCTAACCTTTTAGTAGCTGCAAACCTTAAAGTGAGACTCAGGAAGGAAGCAGGGAGCCAGCCTGGGGTGGGGATGCCTGGGAGCAAAGGGGCAGGAGGTGGGCATGGTCACACTGTGCACGGGGCACTGAGCTGGGCTGAGACAGCTCTGCAGCTCTGCTCAGGTGCCAGCCACTCTGGGAAGGGAACTGCAATTAATAACTAATATTTAGTGAGGACTGACGGTGCCAAGTGCTTTCATGGCTGTTAGCATCAAGCTGTCCGCACACGGGAGCGGCAGTAATGACTTCACAGTGTGGTGTGTTTGCAAGTTGTGTTTTGCACAACGAGTAAGATCTTACATGGAAACAAAGGGTTTGTGTGGTCAGACGGGCCTGGGGAAGCGGGGTCAAGAGGGCTCCTGCTATGCTAGTGTTCCCGGATTCTCTACGGAGCTGTGGTATGCAGTGCTGATCCCCACATTTATTTGTCTAAGAATTCTTGTTTGCTCCAAGCGCCTCCTGGGATTGCTGCTCTGTGGGACGCGTGCTGGGAAACAATGTTCCAGAGGGCCTGGCGGGGAGAAATGGCCTCTCCTGTTCTCCAGAGGATGAGACGGCAGTGTGCCCAATGGTTAGGGCTGTGGACTTGTGGGTACAGATTCCCTGGGTTGGGACCTCAGCCCTGCTGTTCATGAAAGCACGTGGGAGGATGTGGGAGGCCTTGGGCAAGTTATCTGACCTCTCTTCTGCCCCAGTTTCCTCATCTGCAAAATGGGGACCAGGATCACTGCTGTCACAGGCTTGTTGTCAGAATAGCGCCTGGTAGGAGAGGAAGCCTCGGCATGTTACTATCACTACCTCGTGCAGGATGGCCCAGGGTCATGACCCTCAACGCATAGCCCTGATCTGGGGCACACTCTCTGAATGCCACAGTGGCACCTGAATCCCAGACTCGCCGCTTGGAGCTGTGTGGCTTTGGGCAAGTTCTTAACCTCTCTGAGCCTCAGTTTTCTTAGCTGTAAATTGAGATGATCATGTGTCCTTTGTAAGATTACTGGGAGAATCAAATGGGATGAAAATTTTAAAATGCTTGCCATTTGGCGATGCTCAGTAAATAGTATCTTTTAGCTCCTTCCTCTCATTGGCGGCGGGTATTTGTTCATTTGGCTAAGATGCTGATTATCAGGCATCTCACCAGGTAAGTAAAGAAAAGAGAAAGAGAAGAGAAAGGAGCCATAGGAATTCCAGTGCTCACCTTCTGGGAGGCAATGACTGGAAGCTCATGGAGAGGTCCCACCCCTGCCCCCCCAGGGAGCCTTACCATCCAGCGCAGCCACAGGCTGGTCTCACTGGCCGTGCGCAGAGACACGTTGGCTGGGGCCATGTCAGGGGGTGCCTGCAGGGTCTGGATCTTTCTAGAAGGCTGACTGGGGGGGCTGGTGCCCACGATGTTCACCTGGCGCATGCGGAAGCTGGGGCGGTGAGAGATGAGAAAGATGGTAAGGGCAGGACCCCAGCTCTCAACCTTGTCCTGGTCTGGGCCACGGCCCCCACCCACCCCCAGCCCTGGGGCTGCTGCCCTCTCCCTGGGCTGGTCTTGTTACCTGTAGTAGGTGAAGGGGTTGAGGTCGGGCACCTCCATGGAGCGGGCATCGGGCTCGTTGGAGAGCTGGTGGATCAGCAACCACTCCTCTCCCTCCCCGACCACGCCTACCTGGAAAAGGGCGAGACCTTAGGCCTGTCTAGCCTACAGGGTTCACACAGGGTGCTCTAAGCCCCGGTATAAGCCCTGCCAGGGAAGAACTTGGTTCAGATCCCGGGGCTCATCTGGAGGGCACCAAATGGGGCTACCATCTTTCCAGGCCCCTAAACACGACTGCAAGTGTGACTCAGCCCTCCTGCCTTACAATCTCTCAGGATGCTTGTGATCAACATATTCCTGGGCCCGTCAGAATTCTTGGAGCACTGCCCAGGAATCTGTGCTTTTTTTTTTTTTTTTTTTTTGAGACGGAGTCTCGCTCTGTCGCCCAGGCTGGAGTGCAGTGGCCGGATCTCAGCTCACTGCAAGCTCCGCCTCCCGGGTTTACGCCATTCTCCTGCCTCAGCCTCCCGAGTAGCTGGGACTACAGGCGCCCGCCACCTCGCCCGGCTAGTTTTTTGTATTTTTTAGTAGAGACGGGGTTTCACCGTGTTAGCCAGGATGGTCTCGATCTCCTGACCTCGTGATCCGCCCGTCTCGGCCTCCCAAAGTGCTGGGATTACAGGCTTGAGCCACCGCGCCCGGCCGAATCTGTGCTTTTAACAAGCAGCCCAGGTGATTCTCCTAAACATCCTGGGGCACTTCCAGAGACCCAGGCTGCCCCTCAAACCAGCTAAATCAGAATCAGAGTTTCTGTGGGTGGGACACAGGTGTGGGCACTTCTGAACGCTTCCCTGATGATTCCAGGGTACAGCCAAGGCAGATATTTTTATCTTCCAGCACCTGCGTATTTTTCTAGGCACCCCCAGACCCAGGAGGGGACTGTAATGTGTGTGTGTTTCCATGTACACAGGTGAGGGGCAGGGGGAGCTGGAGACAATATTGGGACATGTGAGCATATGGGGTATAATTGGCCATTGAGAGTTGCATGTGAAAATTCACACAGGCTGAAACACACATAAGATTTTTGCACTCAAGAGCACGGGGTGCCCTGGCAGGGGCTGCTGCCCAGGCCCCAGGCCTGCCCTACCTGGGCTTCCACCAGCCAGCGGGAGATGGAGGTTTTCCCATCGTAGCCGGGCCTGAACTGCAAGGTCACGGAGCGGGGGCCGATGTTGGAAATGCCCAGGTTGGTGGGGGGTCCTGGGAGTTCTGGAAAAGGAGAACAGGGTGGGGAAGGAGATCCGGCGAGAACAGCCCTCCATATCGAACGCGACTTTTGGGCATGGAGAGAGCTGTGTGTCACGCTTTTCCTGGAAATGTCCGAGGAGAAGTACAGCCACGGCTTCACTCCACCCACAGTCTTTGTTCCCGCGTCTTACGGAGAACCATGTTCGTGCCAGGAGGCTGGGACAGAATTGGGGGCCAAGGGAGATCTCCCAGGGCTGAGAGGGGGCTGAGGGCCAGGAAACAGGGGCTGGGATGCCTCCTTCTTCCTGGCAGTTCTGGATGTGAGTGAGGGGCTCATAAGGAAGCTGAAAGCTGCATTCAAACCAAGCCGGGCTGAGAAAGAAACCAAACAGGAACAATCCTCCCTCCGTCCGCACAGATCTCCTGCACCCTTCTAAGCCTAATGACAGCTCAGGAAGGTGACAGGATGGATGGGGACAGGGGGAAGCTTATTTTCTGGCCAGGAACCCTAGGGATCTTGGAGCTCAGGAAGAACAGAAAGAGCACAGATTCTGGAGTCAGAATGAGTCTAAATCTAACTCCACTACTTACAGGCTGTGTGTCTTTGCACAAGTTATCCACCTCTCTGTGCCCCCATGTCCTCCTTGGTAACGAAGATGGTAATAACAACACCTCCCTCAGGGTTGTTGTGAGGATTAAATGAGTCAATGTGTGCAAAGCTTCTAACACCATGCCCCGTGAGCGCTACATACGTATTTGCCAGCATAGCTGTGTTTATCACTGGGGGTTGACTGAGGCTCAGGCAGCCCAGTCATCTACACAGCAGGTGGAGGGATCCTGGCAGGTCATACAAGCACTGCCTGCCTGATCTGGATGGGACCACATGGTTATCCAGTCCAACTTCCCATATATACAGATGGGGAAACTGAGGCACAGAGGGGACCCGGAACTTGCTCAAGGTTGTAGGGCTTGGCAGAAGCAGAGCTGGGAGTGGACCTGGGCTTGCTCTCTGTGCCAGGCCTAGGAGTATTCCCACCGTGCTCTGCCACCTCCCAACCAACACTTCCACACGATGGAATCCAAAGTGGACTCTGGGCGGCAGCGGGAATTTTTCCCCCGAATCACAGATGCCATTGCCTGGTGTGGAATCTTGTGAGAAATGGGTGAAGGGAGGGGCTGGTGGGGAAATGAGACAAGGTAAGGGGCCTTTGCTTTTCTCAGAGCTGTGGGAAGACACAGCAGGGGGCCAGGGGAGCCCCTGTTCAGAGACCTGGGATCCCGGGGATTCAGCCTGTTCTGAGAGGACCCAGACCCACACAGAACAAGGGAAGGGGAGAGCCCGTGGGAAGAACGCTGGTATTCCTGAAAGACAAGAGGACTCTCTTTTTTTTTTTTGGAGACATGATCTGGCCCTGTCACCCAGGCTGGAGTGTGGTGGTGTGATCTCGGCTCACTGCAACCTCCACCTCCTGGGTTCAAGTGATTCTCCATCCTCAGCCTCCCAATTAACTGGGATTACAAGCATGCACCACCACACCTGGCTAATTTTTGTATTTTTAGTAGAGAGAGGGTTTTACCATGTTGGCCAGGCTGGTCTCGAACTCCTGACCTCAAGTGATCCACCTGCCTCGGTCTCTCAAGGTGCTGGGATTACAGGCGTGAGCCACCACGCCGAGCCAATAAGGGGCCTCTGGAATGGGGTGCTGCTCAGGAGAATTCCAAGAGTCCTGCACTGAGAGTGGGCACTTACCTGGGGGCACCCCAGAAGAGATGGTGGAGGCGGACACTTGGCCCTGGCCCTTCGAGGTCATGGCGGCCACCTCAATGGTGTAGGTGGTAAGTGCGGTGAGGCCTGTGACACGGTACTCCAGGGTCACATTGGGCAGGTAGTGGGTCACACGGGTGTTGGTTCGGTTGTACTCCTCCCAGGAGATCCGGTACCCTGGGGAGAGCCCCCGTGTTGGCATGAGCTTGACTGTGATCACGAGTTGGCCTGACCCACTTCTCCCTTCTCCACTAGGCTGGCAATTAGATCCACATTGGGAGCAATGGGGCCAAGGGAGGTGGGAGCTGCTGGCATCATGCCCTGGGTCTCAGGTGTAGCCTCAGTGGGATGCCAGCACTTCAGGGAATTGCAGGGGACATAATGAGTCATCATGGCAGCCACTGAGATCTGTGGCTGAAGGTGTGGGGCTGGGGACTCTGGGATGCGTAATCAAGTGGAGGTGCTGAGAGCCTCTTGTGAATGGTTTCTAAGAAAGCGTGGGTTGGCTTCAAGGGTTTGGGTGAAAAGTAGCTTGAAGGCAGGGGATGGACCAGCTCTGACCTTTCCAGCCCTGTCCTACCCTCTGGTTCAGAAACACTGCGGTGCCTACCTGTGAGGATGCCGTTTTTCTCTCCCGGCTCTTGCCAGCTGACCTTCAGCGACGTGTCCAGAATCTCACTGAAGCTCAGGTGTCCCACGGGCCCAGGCACTGCACCCCAAAAGGACCCCCACCCCCCAAGGCCAGTTAGAGCTAGAGAGAGACCATCATCTGTGAGACAGCCTGCGGTAATCTGGGGGTATCTCAGCCTGCGAGATAAGCCCGGGCTGCCCTTCTGCCTGGGGCACCCAGCCTGGCCTTGGGTGGGGCAGAGAGAGCAGGGCTGGGGGGTGCCTACCATCCTCATGGGTGCGCACCAGCTGCGGGGTGCTGCGTGGCCCATCCCCGGGGGTGGTGAAACACAGCACCGAGGTGAAGTACTCGGTGAACTTCTTCAGGCCAGACACGAAGCCCACGTGGATGCTGTCTTGAAAGTTAGGCCGGGCGGTCACCATGGTAACCTCCTCTTCCTGCTCTGGCTCCCAGGCGATCAGCTGCAGAGAGGCCAGCAAGTCACACAGGGCAGCAGGAAGGTTCCAGAGGAGGCCAAGCCCTCTCCCACAGGCTGGGCCAATCAACAGATGGTGTCCAGGGACTGGAGTCCCTGTGGTGTCTCCTCCAAGGGAAGGGACAGGCAGTGCAGGGAAACCACGGGGCACTGGGGTTCACTTTGGGGCACTTCTCTGCTTCTTGAGCCACTGACTTTATGCAAAGCACCGTGCTGGGTACTTCCCAGGGGCCGCCTTTTACTGAATTCTCACAGAGACTGAGAGGGTGGCATTTCACCAGGAACAGCTGCATAATTTGCAGGCTCAGTGCAAAATGAAAATTTTGCCCCTTGTTCAAAAATGACTAAGAATTTTAAGATGATAGCAGCAGAGCATTTAACTAAGTGTGGGGTCTTTTCAAACATGGGGCCCTGGATGACTGCACAGGTGGCATATCCACGAAGCCGGCCCTGTATTCCTTTTGTGAGATGGGGTCTCACTATGCTGTCCAGGCTGGAGTACAGTGGCATGATCACAGCTCACTGCAGGCTCAACCTCCTGGGCTCAAGAAATCCTCCCACCTCAGCCTCCCAAAGTGCTGGGATTATAGGCATGAGCCGCTATGCCTGGTCCAGCCCCATATTTTATTTTATTTAATTAATTAATTTATTTATGACAGAGTCTTCTTACTTTGTCGCCCAGGCTGGAGTGCAATGGCATGATCTAGGCTCACTGCAACCTCTGCCTCCTGGGTTCAAGCAATTCTCCTGTTTCAGCCTCCTGAGTAGATGGGATTGCAGACACGCACCACCATGTCCAGCTAATTTTTGTATTTTTAGTAGAGATGGGGTTTCACCATGTTGGCCAGGCTGGTCTCAAACTCTCAGCCTCAAGTGATCCACCATGTTGGCCAGGCTGGTCTCAAACTCTCAGCCTCAAGTGATCCACCGGCCGTGGCCTCCCAAAGTGCTGGGATTACAGGCATGAGCCACTGTGCCCAACCCAACCCTGTATTTTACAGATGAGGAAACTGAGGCTCAAAGAGGCTCACACAGGTAGGGGGAAGCTGGTTCTGGGATTCCAAGCCCTGAGGTCCTACATCTTGCCCCAGGTGAGCTGGGGCAGCTTCGTCTTTGGAGTTCTCCAAGGGTACTTCCTACAGAGCTGGGAACTTCAGTTTGTGGGTAACCATTATCCTCTTACACTCCTTCTAAGTTGGGATTTCCATCTTAAATATCAAGCAGAGGTGGGGCATCAGCAAGAAAGTCCTATGTGGAAATCCCTCAAGTTCTTGCTAATCTCCCCTCTGCAGATTGTACCCGGCCCCCGCCCCCTCCTGCTTCTCTCGCCTCCTGCTCTCACCTCACGCTCCTGTTTCTGGGCCCTTCATCTGTCTCCAATAATGACAGCTGGTTTCAGAGATTTCCTCATTTATTTGAAGTTGATTAAATAGCAATTAATGGTGAAAAGCAACACTTGATGAGTTTTAATAAGCACGGGTATTTATAGATATAAAACAATACCACGCCAATGTCTCCCGATTAACTCGTGCCTATAACAATGCTTAATCTTCTCCTTTTCATGGCCGTGTATTTATAAAGGATGTTTTGAAATTTAATTGGTATTGTGAAAAGATAGCCTATAGCAAGTTAATTAGACACTAATTAGACCCTCAAAATACTAAACAGAAATACTAAGTGGCATTTAATAAGTATGTTAAATATCCTCCGTATTTCGATTATCTTGTTTCATAGCAATTATGTTGCCGAACTTCTTTTGAGTAGATTAAGAAACAAGTTTAATGTTTTAATTTAATTTAATTAATGTAAATTCAAATTAATTATGCTGTTAGAATTAATTGTGTGGTGTGTTCCCTAGCAAGTATAAAATCTGGGTAAATATTATTTTATTGGGCTTAGGCCAATTATAATCTCTACCATTTTTTTAAATAAAGAGAAAAGGTGTCTTTACAGATGCCTTAAGACAGTATCACCAGGCCTTACCCACAAAAATGACCCAGAGGAAGCACACAGGGTCATGGAAGTGTGGTTTGTGGAGTAACGCTGTTGACTTCATTTTCCTACAGCTTGATGCCTGGATCCAAGATGGCAGCAGGGCCACGGGTTCCTGTGGTTGTTTCAAAATATTTACTCTGAGCCGGGCGTGGCGGCTAACACCTGTAATCCCAGCACTTTGGGAGGCTGAGGCAGGTGGATCACGAGGTCAGGAGATTGAGACCATCCTGGCTAACACGGTGAAACCCTGTCTCTACTAAAAACTGCAAAAAAAACTAGCTGGGTGTGGTGTTGTGCGCCTGTAGTCCCAGCTACTCAGGAGGCTGAGGCAGAAGAATGGCGTGAACCCGGGAGGTGGAGCTTGCAGTGAGCCGAGATCACACCATTGTTCTCCAGCCTGGGCGACAGAGTGAGACAAAAAAAAAATTTACTGTGGGATGTGAGCCACTTGTCCTTCTCCAGCTGCATGTGAAAAGGAGGAGGCTTGGGGATAGGAGGCCTCCCTATCTCAGGTCCAGGGAGAGAAAGAGTAAAATTCCCTTTTGTGTCCTTCATTGCCCTAAAGAGGTTGGGCTCTGGGCAGCTGTGGGATGGAACCTTAGTGCTCAGCTCAACACACAACAGGGCTTCCACCTGTTGAACTCTTACTATGTGCCTGGCCTTATTTAATCATCACAATGAGGAGCAGATGGAAATCATTGTCCTATGCTGTTACAGAAAAGGAAACTGAGGTTCAGGAAGGTTAAGGAGCTGGCACGTGGACCTACTAAGAGCTGGCTCAATTTGTGGACCCTGAGACCTTTCCTGATGACTTCTGTCTCTCAAAGGTACACAGAGATGTTGAGATGAGTGTTCTTTAGGACGACTCTGTGCCTTCTCCTTGTTAGTCAGTTTCAGCGTTGATTTACCCTACTAGGTCCTTAGTCTCAGGTTCTAAGCAGACGGGGCTCCCCTGAGAAGGCTCGGGCGTGTTCTGGGGAATGAGCAGTACACCTGGGTTCCTGGGACATGCAATTCCCTTGGAGAGCAGAGGCCCAGGGAGGCAAGCCTTGTCACTGAGCAGCGGTGCTGCTGATGGAGGGTGTGGGAGGAGGGCAGCCTTGCAGCTGGCACACTTGAACCTGAACCCAGCTCTGTGACTTAATGTGGGACTCAGGGAAACTCACTTGACCACTCTGAGCCTCAGGCTATTCTAGGGGATAGAAACAGCTGCCTTGCTGGGTTTCAGGGAGGAGCAGGTGAAATGTCTCCTGTCCCTGGTGGAGGCAGTCCTGAATAGGGTTGAAGGTGTGGGATGGTATATATGGCATCTAGCTACTAAAGTTAGAAAATAAAAGTCAGGCTGGGCGCTGTGGCTCATGCCTGTAATCCCAGCACTTTGGGAGGCCAAGGCGGGTGGATCACCTGAGGTCAGGAATTTGAGACCAGCCTGGCCAACATGGTGAAACCCTGTCTCTACTAATAATACAAAAATCAGCCGGGGGTGGTGGCACATGCCTGTAATCCCAGCTACTTGGGAGGCTGAGGCAGGAGAATTGCTTGAACCTGGGAGGCAGAGGTTGCAGTGGAGCCGAGATGGCACCAATTAGCCTACCACCGGCCTAGAGGCGACAAGAGTAAGACCTCTGCCTTCAAAAAAAAAAAAAAACAAGAATCCTCTCTCGTCTGTCTCGGTCTCTCGCCTCTACCCTTTTGCAGATGCACAGACTGTTCCAGAAAACAACTGGGCAGGAGAATGTAAGGAAAGCAAACCCGACCAGCAGGCCACACTGGAGTGAGGAGGGAGGTTTTTGGAGGGTTGGCCACAGAGGTAGCAGGCCACGCAGGGGGTGGCGAGACTGGGAATGGAGGGGCCTTCCACTATCTGTTTACTGATTTTTTTACTTTTTTGGTTTTTTGAATCACATATTTTTTAGGGTTTAAAATTAAACATTAGGCCAGGGCCCACAGTGGCTTCCACGCCTGTAATCCAATGCTTTGGCGAGGGGAACGAGGTGGGAGATCACGAGGTCAGGAGATCGAGACATCCTGGCTGTAACATCGGTGAAACCTCATCTCTACTGAAGAATTACAAAAATTAGGCCGGGTTATTGGTGGCGGGGCGCCTGTAGGTTCGCCCAGTCCTACTCGAGGGGCTGAGGCAGGGAAGAATGGGTGAACCGGGGAGGCGGAGCTTGCAGTGAGCCCGAGGATTCTTCCGCCCCTGCAACTCCAGGCCTGGGGCGACAGGAGCCGAGACTCCATCTCAAAAAAAAAAAAAAAATTAAAATATTTAAAATATTAAAAAATAAATTGAATGAAACGTATTTGCAATTAGTAGCAAAAAATTAATTTAACACATTCTTCCCTTTGACTCACGATCTCATTTCTAGGAATCTAGTCAAAAGTGATATACTGGCGAACAAAGAGAAGAGCCGGGCGCGGTGCCCTCACGCCTATTTAATCCCAGCACTTTGGGAGGAGTCTGGAGCGTTGGTGGATAATCCCCTGAGGTCAGGAAGTTGGGCCAGCCTGGCCAACAGGGTGAAACCCTCGTTCTCTACTAAAATTGCAAAAAATTAGCCAGCGTGGTGGTGGGTGCGCTGTAATCCTACGCTAGCTTGGAGAGGCCTGAGTGCAGGAGAATTGCTTGAACATGGGAGGTGGGAGGTTGCAGTGAAGCTGAGATCACACGAACTATATCCAGCCTGGGCGCAACAAGGCTGAAACTACATAATCCTCAGAAAAAAAAAAAAAGATATATGCACAAAGAGTCATTCCACTATGCAGAAAGGGTAGGTTATAGTAAAAGACTAGAAAAGCACCAAAATGTCATCACTTGGGGGGCTGCTTGATATAAATCATAGGGAGGATCCATGCGGGTAGCAGAGATACAGGTGTCAAAAGGAACCAAGGGATGTATCTCTATAGCCCTTGTATGGAGTGAGCCATCCAAAATATATTCTAATAATGATAATAATAAAGGCCGGAGGCGCATGTAGCTCACACCCCTGTAATCACCGCAGCACTTGGAGTGAGGCCGAGGTGGGGAATCACAAGGTCAGGAGTTCCAAGACATCCTGGCTAACATATGAAACCTCGTCCCTACTAAAAATCAAAAAATTAGCCGGGGGTGGGGTGGCGGCGCGCTGTAATCCTCAGCTACCTCTGGAGGCTGAGGCGGAAGGAATTGCTTGAAACTGGAGGGCAGAGGTTGCAGTGAGCCAAGATTGCACTACTGACTCATCCGGCCTGGGCAAAAGAACAAAACTCCATCTCAAAAAAAAAAAAAAAAACCAAAAAAACAAACTATCTCTCTCCTCTATATATATATAGATAGATAGATCAATCGATCAAGAATGTGGAAAGTACATTGCCACTTATCTGAGAAGGAAGAGCACACACATTTATGTAGGCTTGTACAGAGCAAAGTCCTTGATATTCATGGTGGGATTGGGTTCCCAGGACCCTCCCACAGTACCAAAACCCACAGCTGCTCAGTCCCTGATATAAAATGGTGTAGGTATTTGCATGTAACCTACACACCTCCTCTTATATACCTTAAATCACCTTTAGATTATTATAATACCTAACACAATGTAAATGCTATGTAAATAGTTGTTATACTGTATTGTTTGGGGGGAATAATGACAAAAAAGTCTGTACATGTTTAGTACAGATGCAATTATTTTCTGAATATTTTCAGAACCATACGAGATTGGCTGAATCCACAGATGTGGAATCCATGGCTACTATACTTTTTGTTTGTTTTTTGAGATGGAGTCTTGCTCTGTTGCCCAGGCTAGAGTGCAGTGGCGAGATCTTGGCTCACTGCAATCTCTGCCTCCCTGGTTCAAACGATTCTCCTGCCTCAGCCTCCTGAATAGCTGGGATTACAGGC